AGAAAAAAAGGAAGGATTTTTCTTTCTTTACTCTAATACCCCTTCCTCTTTTCCAACCCGCCAAAATTTCTTCCAAAATGCCTGCCGCCAACGTCGCCGCCTCTCCTGCCCTCACCGGCAAGGAGACCGCCCAGTCGGTCGCTGTCCTCGAGGACCTCATCAAGAACCTCAACCTGACCACCAGCGCCGATGAGACCAATGCCGCTGCCAGCAACCTTGCCACTCTCTTCAGCGGTCCCACCGCCGAGCAGGCTCTTGGTCTCAAGGCCACCGAGATCTTCAAGAAGCAGCTCGCCAACAAGAAGGACGCTACCGCCCGCGAGCGTGCTTGCGAGGGTATCCGTGCTATTGCCTCCCACCCCACAATCGCTCCCGGTGTTGAGCCTCACCTCGTTGCCCTCCTTGGCCCTGTCCTTGCCGCTGTCGGTGACAAGATGGTCCCCGTCAAGCAGGCTGCCCAGTCCGCCGCTGTCGCTATCGTCCAGGCTGTTACCGGTAACGCCGTCAAGGCCGTTATCACTCCTCTCCTCGATTCTCTCGCCAACGCCCAGAAGTGGCCCGAAAAGATGGCTGCTCTCGACTGCCTCAACATCCTCGTCGACTCTGCCAAGATGCAGCTCGGCTACCAGGTTCCTACTCTGATCCCCGTTATCTCCGAGGCCATGTGGGACACCAAGTCCGAGATCAAGAAGGCTGCCTACTCCACCATGGAGAAGGTTTGCGCTCTGATCGTCAACAAGGATATTGAGCGTTTCATTCCCGAGCTCATCAAGTGTATCGCCAAGCCCGAGAACGTCCCCGAGACCGTTCACTTGCTCGGTGCCACCACTTTCGTCACTGACGTCACTGGCCCTACCCTCGCTATCATGGTTCCCCTGCTTGACCGTGGTCTTGTTGAGCGTGAGACCGCCATCAAGCGTAAGACCGCTGTCATTGTCGACAACATGTGTAAGCTCGTGGAGGACCCCCAGCTTGTCGCTCCCTTCTTGCCTAAGATGTTGCCCGGCTTGAACAAGAACAACGAGACTCTTGCCGACCCCGAGGCCCGTGAGAAGACCCGCCAGGCTCTTGACACCCTCTCCCGTGTTGGTAATGTCGTTGACGGCAAGATCCCCGAGGTCTCCCGCGCTGGTGACATCTCCACCGTCGCTGCCATCCTCAAGGAGATCCTCGAGGCTAAGCACAAGGACATCATCCCCACCTCCGAGGAGGCTATCAACTACGTTGCTGCCATCGCCGCTCAGCTCGTTGATGAGAAGGAGAACGACCACGTCATCTGGACCCAGAACACCATCCCTTACATCACTGCCATCGTTGGCGAGGCTGATGCTAAGGCCGTCGCTGATGAGCTCCGCAAGAAGGCTTGCCCCGATGCCGCCGCTGCCGATGCTATCGCCTCCGACGAGGAGGAAGGTGTTGACCTTTGCAACTGCACTTTCTCCCTGGCTTACGGTGCCAAGATTCTGCTGAACCAGACTCACCTGCGCCTCAAGCGTGGCCAGCGTTACGGTCTCCTCGGCCCCAACGGTTCCGGAAAGACCACCCTCATGCGTGCTATCAACAACGAGCAGCTCGAGGGTTTCCCCAAGAAGGATGAGGTCAAGACCGTCTACGTCGAGCACGATCTCGACTCTGCCGATACTGAGCAGACCGTCATTGCCTGGACCCAGAAGAAGCTTGCTGAGGTTGGACAGAACCCTCCCCGTGAGGAGCTCGAGAGCAAGCTGCTCAACGAGTTCGGTTTCTCCGAGTTCCAGATCCAGGGCCCCATCACTGCCCTTTCTGGTGGTTGGAAGATGAAGCTCGCTCTCTGCCGTGCTGTCTTCGAGAGCCCCGATATTCTCCTGCTTGATGAGCCTACCAACCACTTGGACGTCAAGAACGTCGCATGGCTCGAGAACTACCTCAAGAGCTCCCCTTGCACCTCCATCATGGTGTCTCACGACTCCAAGTTCCTCGACAACGTCATCCAGCACGTCGTCCACTACGAGCGCTTCAAGCTCCGCCGTTACCGCGGTACCCTCTCCGAGTTCGTCAAGCAGCACCCCGCTGCTAAGTCCTACTACGAGCTCGGTGCCTCCGAGATGGAGTTCCGCTTCCCCGAGCCCGGTTTCCTTGAGGGTGTCAAGACCAAGTCCAAGGCCATTTGCCGTGTTAGCAACATGTCCTTCCAGTACCCCGGTACCCCCAAGCCCCAGATCCACGGAATTACCTTCCAGGTCTCCCTTGGTTCTCGTATTGCCGTCATCGGTGCCAACGGTGCTGGCAAGTCTACTCTCGTTAACGTCCTGACTGGTGAACTTATCCCCACCTCCGGTGATGTTTACCAGCACGAGAACATCCGTATTGCCTACATTAAGCAGCACGCTTTCGCTCACATTGATAACCACCTTGACTCCACTCCTTCCGAGTACATCCAGTGGCGTTTCCAGACCGGTGAGGACCGTGAGACTATGGACCGCGCCAACAAGATCGTTACCGAGGAGGATGAGAAGGCCATGGACAAGATCTACAAGGTCGAGGGCTCCCTCCGCCGTGTCATTGGCATCCACTCTCGTCGCAAGTTCAAGAACACCTACGAGTACGAGATCTCTTGGTCCCTGGGTGACAACGTCGGCATGAAGTCCGAGAAGTGGACTCCTCTCATGTCCGCTGACAACACCTGGTTGCCCCGTTCCGAGATCATTGTCTCTCACCCCAAGCAGGTCGCTGAGGTTGATCAGAAGGAGGCCCTCGCCTCCGGTCAGTTCCGTCCCCTTGTCCGCAAGGAGATCGAGCAGCACTGCGCCAACTTCGGTCTCGATGCCGAGCTTGTCTCTCACTCTCGCATGCGTGGTCTCTCCGGTGGCCAGCGTGTTAAGGTCGTTCTCGCCGCTTGCTCGTGGCAGCGTCCCCACCTTATCGTCCTTGACGAGCCTACTAACTACCTCGACCGTGACTCTCTCGGTGCCCTCTCCAAGGCTATCAAGTCCTTCGAGGGTGGTGTTGTTATCATTACTCACTCCCGTGAGTTCACTGAGCACCTGACTGAGGAAGTCTGGGCCGTCAACGACGGTGTCATGACCCCCTCCGGACACAACTGGGTCCAGGGTCAGGGTTCCGGCCCCCGTCTCGACGCCAAGGGTGACGATGATGAGGACAAGTTCGATGCCATGGGTAACAAGATCGTTGTCCAGAAGAAGGTTAAGCTTTCTGGTAAGTCATATAATTCTTCCTCGCTTATACATCACAAAGTTCAATTGCTAACTGTTTCCTTCCAGGCTCCGAGCTCCGCAAGAAGAAGAAGGACCGTGCTGCCCGCCGCAAGCGTGGTGAGGAGGTGTTCTCCGATGAGGATGACCTTTGAACGCCCAATTAGGGTGTTTATTGATGCATATTATGATCGGTTGATGAATTTCATATGCTTTGCTAGGACAAAATACAATTCTCTGTTCAAACATTCGTTATTATCACTTTTGACTTGTGTAGATCTGTAATTTCTCGTAACTTTGTAGGTCAGAGCACAGCACATATCTGCTCAAACATATTCATGTCAATATCCTGATCTCCAGGAAAGGCCATGCTGGTTCGCCCTTGTTCTAAGCAGTTGACTTGACTTGGTTTATGTGGAGCTGCCGCTCTTACCCGGCGCAGATCTTGTTCATATATTGCGGCCTTGTCTATTAGACTTGCGAAAGAGGTTTATAACTATAGACTTCTATTTGCCTATTTCTATTTCTTGCGAGACCTTCATGGTCAACATATACCCCGGATCATAAGGAACGTGCGAAAAATTCTTATTATTTCTTTGCTTTGCCTGTAGAATTTATCTAATAGCTATGAATCCCATAATATCTGTACGAACCCGCTCATCGTCGAGCCCTTGCAGGCTTGTCTTGAATAAGGATGACGGTAGCGAGGATTAAATTTATCAACGACGGGGAGCAATACCATTCCATATTGCTGCTTGTGTCTATACATCAATACAATATATGCGATGTTCATATTTACAGTCTTATCCAATAATTTGAAGGCTGACCAACCCACCTCACTAAACGCATTGGCAGTTTGAACGTGCTAGGGACCTGTATCATTATCATTTATTATTATGGATAATAATTATGCATATTTTAAAATTAGTGCTCCACATAGACTTCAATTACATACTCCGTACGGAGTAACTAGTTAGAGTATTGTAATATATATGGGTCTCGAAGGGTAAGCCCTAGTATATCGGCACTTACTCCTTGCATGTAGACTCTGGCTCCCCTAACCAACACCCCTGATCCAATCATGCAACGGCTCGTGTTGGTGTACGGGCCTCCCCACTATATCCCCGTCGCTGAACTGTGTTGTACGGCATATGTATGCAGGAGTAGACCTCTGCTTTGTAGAATATGTCGACCCTTCTAGGCTCTGCACTGGTCTATAAGTTGTTGTATGGAGTATTGTGAGGAGTACAACATTGATGATCTCGATTAGTCAAAAAAATCTGTCATCTGGGCACCAGTCAGATCAACTTGGATTTCCTTTTTCTCTCTCTTTCTGCATAGACCCCAATGCTACATTCCTGTCACTGGTTACCAAACTGTCGGGATGGGTTAGTTGTATTAGAATGCCTGGGTAACGTTATAGTTCTCGGTTATGCCTAGCCAAAGGTCTATTTTGAAGAAAGAATAAAAATAGAAATAGAAATTGGAAGTGAAATTGGAAAATTGGAGTAGTTGTGGATATAAGTAGTAAAGGCCGGAGGATTACTATATAGACTTTTCCGCATATGATGGCGTTTTCACGGAATTATATATCCCCCCTCACCGATAGATAACAAAGCCAATGGGGGACAGGTGGAACTTTAAAGCCCGACTAAACGTCAAATGGACATGAGACCTATCATATTTGACTGGACTGAAGGTATAGCGTACAACATAGTGAGACTGTAATAAAACCCGGGTTTTCGCCCCCGGATAACATCCACCTTTGCGAAAATTGAAACCATTTCTTGTAGATCACCCCTTTCGACGATGTCCTCTCTATATGGAAGCGAAGACCAAAGTCAAGAATCAAGTCCTGAACCCCAGGTTCCACTCAATGATCAAACAGATGCCCCGATCAACGCCGATGGACCAATCATTGCCGATGATTTCAGTGTATGTGTAGCCGAAGTCTGCGGCTTTTCCGGATTCCTATATGCTGACTCTATGAAAAGGATGAAGATAGTGAATTTAGCAGCGATTCTGATATAACCTCCCTTTCTTCGAGTGTTCTGGATTATGAATATGAAAATGGTCGGCGGTATCACAGCAATCGAACTGTAAGGATCTCTCTCTGTTATCTATACGGCCTCTCTTATAATCTCGGTCATTAACTCATTATTAGGGACATTACATGTACTGTGCTTCCCCGTTCCATGTAATCTGGATGCATAACTAACTCAAATAGGTTGCCAAATGATGAAGAGGAACAAGATCGAATGGACTTGGTATGATATGATGCCCCCTCTATTACGTCTGTCTGAAAGACATGGCTAATGATCCCAGACACACCATATGTCAGCTCAGACCATCTTCCTTGATTTTAGATACGATGCTAACAATACAGCAATCAAGATGGCTGCTGATGTTGAAGGGAGAGTTACACAAAGCTCCAGTCAAAAATCCCCAAAAGATCCTCGATCTTGGAACAGGCACTGGCATCTGGGCTCTTGATATTGCCGAGTACGAAAACGCACATACACATTACGCGTTGATCTATGTCCAAAGCTCACACCGAACAGGAAATTCCCCACCGCCAAGGTAATCGGAAACGACATCAGCGCCATCCAACCAAACTGGGTGACCCCGAACGTGGAGTTCATCGTCGAAGACTTCGAACAGGAATGGCTGTACGAGAAAAACAGCTTCGACTTCATCCACGCACGTCTACTATCCGGGTAAGCTATCTTAATAACATCTCTCTAGCAGCAATCCGATAAATCTCACACCCCCCTCCCAGGTGCGTCGCAGACTGGCCTCAATTCTTCGCGCAAATCTTCGACCACGTAAAACCAGGCGGCTACTTCGAGATCCAAGAAAGCGCCATCTGGGGTTGGAGCGATGACGGTACCCTTAAGCCCGACGCGCCGATTCTGCAGTACCTGCATGCCCTCAATATGGCCGGGATAGCAATGGGACGCGAGTTCAATATCTACGATAAACTGGAACAGTGGATGATTGATGCGGGCTTTGAAGATGTGGAGCAGTTCACGTTTCTTCTGCCGTACTCGCCTTGGCCGCGTGATCCGCACCTGAAGGAGTGCGGGAAGTATCAGGGTGTTATGGTCCAGCAGGCTATTGAGTCGTATGGGTTGAGGCTCTGTACGCAGGTTCTTGGTTGGGGCGCGGAGCCCACGCGTGTCTTTCAGGCTATGGCTAAAAAGAACTTGAGGGATAAGAATGTGCACGCTTATGTGAAAGAGTGAGTTTCTATTTTGGTCTTCTTCTTCGGGCTCGATGGTGGAACTGACCTCCGGTAGGGTTGCTGTATATGGCAGGAAGCCTTTGAATCGACGATGAATGTAGGAGTTATGAGGGACTTTTTGCTCCCTAGCAAGTATGGCTGTGTTATTTGGTTTTAGCATCTTCTAACAGATTTCCTTGTTCCCAGTTACCCAGTAGGAGATTGCGATATATCATTATTATTAAATTGTGTTTTGGCAATACGATGTTGAGCCTTTCGAGCTGATTCCGTATGCCAGTATTCTAATTTAGGAGTCTAGGTAAAGCTTGAGCTCTTTGGTATTAGAGCCACGTAACTCTCAGGCATTGTGCGCCTGTTTAGAACAGTTCCGCTTGTTAAACCTGTCTGTTTTTTCTACTGATTCATAGGAAACCACTGTTATTCCATCAAGCCTCGACTGGCCCAACCTTCACATCAACCCTTCTTTGCAGCTCAGCCATGTTATCCACTTGCCGCAGCCTTTTCCGCTTCTGAACCTCTAGGTCCTTGAAGCGCTTCTTGCCTCCATGCTTCAGCTTTGTAATCATATCAGCTGCTTGGCCGCGAGTCAAGTCCTCGGGCTTCACATTTCCATCTCGAATGCGAGCTCCGTTCAGCATTTTGATTTGTCCCGGTGTTGCTTGGGCCCGTCGCCAAGGTTTCCAAGATGCGATATAATGCTCGTCAAACTTGGTACTAGCAAAGGTATCTGCTGCCCGTACAATGCTCTCCAAATCCGATCCAGTGGCAATCTTCCGAGGACGTGTGAATTGCGGCGCCTCGGTTGTTGGGTCTTTGAATTTCATCACATGATGAGCCGTGAAGATATCGTCTCCCTTTTCAATCGTTATCCAGCCAGATATATCGGTAAGCATATATCTGTCATCGCCGACCCGGACCCAGTTGTGCGGGCTGAATGACCTGATGTGTCGCTCGGACTGCATGTCTCCTAATAGATCGTATATGCTGTCATAAGTTGTAAATTGGAGTTTGAGGTCGTTGTCTGAGCCATCGTATGGTTCAGCGGCCTCGGGAGTGGGTTCCGATTGACTTCCCTGATCATCATTCTTCTTCATATCTTCCACGCTGGTGTTGTCCAAAACTTCATCTGGGTCCAAGCCAAACAATGTTGGTGTTGATAGAACTCCAGTTGCTAAAGACGCTACCATGTCGATAACATGGCAGTCCTTCTTTCCGGGAAACAGCCGAAGACCACGCCCGATCATTTGGATGAGCAGATTTCGAGATCGGGTAGGTCGAGCTAGGAGCACGCAGTCGATATTGGGGATATCCGTGCCTTCTGTGAAAAGACCACAGTTTAGCAACACTGGGAATTCTTGGTCCTTAAAAGCCCGTAGTTGCTCCGAGCGGACACCTTTAGCCGTGCTAGCTGTGATATATCTAGCATCGACGCCATGGTCACGAAAAGCGGCGGTAAGCTGCCGCGCGTGCTCAACATCGACACAAAATACAAGAGTCGACTTTCGATTCTCAGCACTTGCCATCCATGCCCGAACTGTAATGTTGTTCGTAGATGTAGTATTGACTGCCTCCGAAAGCGACCCCAGGGCAAAGTCTCCGAAGCTATCTTTCTTGACTTTAGACAAATTGGCCCCGGACTTGACAGTCGTGAAGACAGCATTGGCCAACCAGTTTTCACCAATCATGTCAACGTAGTCCTTGTGATAAACGATATGATCAATGGCAGCCCCCAGTTTGAGACCATCGAACCGTGAAAAAGTAGCCGAAACGCCCACCAAGACTGGTCCATCGGCAGATGGCTGGTTCAACCCAAAATGCCCCAGAGCTTCGCGGTATGATTTGGCAACGATATGATGAGCCTCGTCCACCAAAATGAGCTTGAATGTACTCGGGTCGAACTTGTACATGCGTCCCCGTGCTAGTGTCTGAACTGACGCGATGATGATGTCCCCTGCTCCCGTCGCAACATTCTTTCCCATTTCTATTTCGACCGTTTTGTCTGGATAGGCGAGACTGCAATGTTTTGCGGCTTGTTCGACGAGTTCGCGTCGATGGACGATGATCATAGTCTTGGTGGCTTTCGCATCGCGAGGAGGAATTCGGCTGATCAGCTGTGTGAATATGACCTGCGAAAATCAGTACCATTTTGGATAAAGAGTAGATTCAGACTTACTGTCTTGCCAGCTCCTGTTGCAAGCGAAATCCCTAGGCGTCGATGGCCTTCACCCAAATATTTCAGGACGGATTGAATGCTTTCCTCTTGGTAGTCGCGGAGCACAATGCTTGGGGGAACTGGGGACTCGGTCGAAGTAAAGCGCACATGGCGAAAGGATTTTTGCAACAGAGGACTCTTCACCAAGTATCTCCTTGGGAGTCTCAATCGCGAGACACAGCGTATGAACTCCATGCAGATGTTGTAAATGCTCTCACTCTCCCCGGCGAAGCTCAAAGATAAGAGCAAACAGTGCAAACATGCTTATCGATAACCGCGCATTTTATAGTGGATCTCCTTAGCTCAACTTTTTTTCTGTTGTTTCTATAGCTCTTGATGAAATTGACGTGTTAGATTTCATTAAGGGTGCAGCTGTGATGTTTTGCTATCGATCATTCCGCATGCGCTGCAAATCTGCGAGCCTGAACGATGAGCGACTCCGCCTCCGCCTATGAGCCCGACGACGACCCCGAGTCTGAGTCCGACTTCGAACAACCCGAATCCGAATCCGACTTCGAGCCACCCCGCTCGCCCGATGAACGCTCTACAACTCCGAATCAAGATTTAAACGAATATGATTACCATCGCGACCCGTCATTCAATGGGATCGGGCGACAACTCGGCGATGCGCTTATGGAACGCGTCCCGCAAATACGTGGATCGCTCACATTTCTCCGAGCCTACGCCCACATGATTGTACAAAACGAGGAGATTATAGATTATGCCTCGCTGAGAGAACTTGACAACCCATATCAAGTCAGTCAACATGGCTCGATGGTCTGGACCCCGACAGAGAAAGAAGTGTTCTTCAATGCACTGGACCGGAAGGGAAAGAGTGGCATTAAAGAGATTGCTGCTGCAATCGGTACCAAGTCGGAACTTGAGGTTATGGAATACATCCGGGTTTTGCATAAGGCCTTGACGGCCCAGTATAGTTCCGACGTGCACCTGGAACGCATGCCTGTCTTGAGCGATGTCCTAGCGGCTACAGAGGTCAGCGAGGAATGTTGTGGACTACTCGAGGAATATGCAGATGTTCTATCATTGAAGGAGTCTCTTATTGAAGCTCAAACCGGAACACAGCAACACGGAGATAACTGGATCATCACTCGTGCTCGTGCACAGGATCTGGAGGCCGAGGAGGACGACAGTGCTCGAGGGGATCTCCGCCTTGCATCTGATTTGCTGAACCTTCCATATTGGCTTCGGCTTTCTTCTTCTTTGTTCATGAACCTCGGTGGCACACAAGCTGAGAACAACTGGTGGAACCTTGCCAAGAGACAGGACCTAATCACAGCGTATGGACATACCCCGTCCATGACTGCAGATACCGCTGTGGAGTTCTATTCCCTCGCTGTTAGTGTCACGCGCCGCTTGATCCAATCATCCCTCTTCTTTGCAATGTCAAGGTTGCGCAGCTCGAACCGCAGTGGGAATGACAAAAAAGGATACATTCGAACGCAAGATGTGCGGGCCGCCATTGAAGTGCTCAACATGAAGCATTGTAGGCCTAACTTTGTGGACATTGCTCGTCGCAACGAAACAGTCCTGGAAGACATCAACAACCGGAAAGGTTGGACGGCTATGACATTTACCTACGAAGAAGCCAAGGAGATCCTCGAGAAACACGAGTGGACCCGATACCGTAAAGATGGAAGCATGTACAATGGTGACAACGATGAAGAGGACAGTGAAGATGACGCCATAACTGATGATGACATCGGAACGGACGATGATATCGAAATGGAAGTCAACAACCAAGAGGCAGAACTTCAACCAGTGCCAGAACTGGAACTGGAGCCAGAGTTCGAACTTGATTCAGGACTAGAGGACTCTGATCACGACCATTTGCTCACGCAAGAGCCCTCCAATATGAGAGCGCCAATTGCATTGCCAGACGAAGTGGAAATGGACCCAGAAGAAAAGGAAGCAGATATCGCAGACCAGAACAACAGCCATCGCGAAGAGGCCAACTTCCTGAAGTTAATGGAACGACCCGTGCCGGCCATCCTTGAGGAACCTTTGAAGGCAGAAGAACCCGAGGACGAGAAGACGCTACTGCCAGAGCGCAGAATCAGAGAAGATATCTTCAATTGGCGTGACCGGACCGTCTACCGCAGCGAGTGGGAGGAGTACGGATACGACTTCGCTGATCTGAAGGAAGACATAGAAATGCCTCCGCTGAAAAGGCCCAGATACAACGAACAAGCAGTTGTTCTCTCTGCTCCGGTTCCTCCGAGCGAGGACGATGATAATGGATCTCAGCAAGGAGAAAACCCACCAACCGCTGGAGAGTCCTGGTTGCAATAAATTCTACAAGATAAAGTTTGGTTAAACAGGCGACCCACAGGGCCACAGGGGCCTGGATGAGAGGCACTACTATACTCTACTTTGAACAAGAATATGAGATTCCCATCAAGGACATATGATTAAAGAGTAAACACATTGATGAAAAAAGATCCCCAACCCCCTAGTTCAACCCCCTAAGAACAATCCACTTTCTGGAGAGAGGGTGAATCAACAAAGAAAGAACTCCAGCAGATAACAGAAAAATAAAAAGTGCGCCTTTTCCGGGCCAGGAAGTTCGGAATATTCATAACTCAGCGAGACGAAAAGCAGTCCCTTTGGGTTCCTCTCTCAGAAGATCCATGGAGATTATCGTACATGTATTGAGGAAGCCTACAGGTCAAGGGTCTTGTAGTCGGCACCACCTTGAGCGCTCAGAGGCTGGGTTCCAGCCCGCAGATCTCCGCCAACAGGCTGGAAGCTGTAGTGGTTTCCAATGCCCGTAGTAGCAGCATCAGCCAGCATCTGGTTTGTGTGCTCGTTGGGGCCTTGCAGGCTGACAGTCTGGAGCGCATCCTGGGCCTCCTTAACACGCTTCTTGAACGTCATCCGGTCCAAGAAGAGTTGCTGGCGCGCCTGCTCCAATTCCCGACGCTCAGCCTCGATGATCTCTTCCATCTCGTTGAATTGCTGCAGCTTGATCTCGAACTTCTGCAGCGTGACGTTGACTGCAGCAGAGACGAGGCGGGTCATCTCACGCTCCTCGTGCGAGGCAAGAGCCCCGGCACGTGCGGCAGATGCAGCCAGAGCGATGGTGCCAAGGGTCTCCTTAGGCTTGGCGGAAACTTGCTGTTCGGCCTCACGTGCTTGGTCCACGTCCATAGAATCTTCGGACTTGACTGCATCTTTGCCTTTGCCTTGTCCCTTCTCCAGCTGGCTCCGGAGCTCCTTGCGGATCTCCTCAACAGATCGACCGGCGGCGGCGGCAGCCACTGCAGGCTCCGCCATCTGGGCCAGGAATGCGACGACAGAAAGAACGGGGTTTTCGGACTGGCTGATGGGGTCACGTCCGCTGCCGGATTGCGGCTCGGCGACATCTTCAACATACTTATCCTCGATCTCCAGCTGTAAGAACTTCATTACACACTCTTCCCGAGACCGTGTGCCAACATGGCTCGCAATTTGCTCCCAGTTTTCATCAAAGTTCTCCAGGCCTTCCAGCAACAAAATTAGTTCCGAGTCCGACCACGGGGTATCTTTGTCAGTCAAGTGAGAGTAGCTCTTGTCCTCGAGCTTAACGAAGTCCGAGGCATTGTGGCTAGAAGGCATCCGCCCTTGAAGGAAACAGTTGGGACACAGGTCATACTTGGTGTCTGGCGTAGTAGCGTTGGCTGATGTCGAAGTCGATTTGGCATAGTGGAATCGAAGTTTGGTGCAATCAATACCGCAAGAGAAGCAGTGGGCCTTCTTCTTGGATTCTTGAGCAATGTCCAAGCCGTTTGTTGCTTCGCCATTGGTATGTTTCTCTTTATCTTCGGAGGAGGTAATATCCCTGCCTTTTTCGTCGTAGATGGTGCGGCGTAGTTCGATGTTTAGGTCTTCTTTAGATGCAGGCACGGAAGAGACGGCATGCTGTGTGGCTGGATGAATCTTGCCAGATGTGACGCTGTGATTTGGTCCAGGCTGGAATGGCTGCAGACCCCGTGGAGTATCTGCGATAACCCGGAAGTGACCGGTGAATGGCGGTCCAATATTGGATGGACGTGTCTGAGGGTCAACCTGCAGAGGGGTTAGCTAGGATGCTTGAATAGGGAAGATGAAGCCACTAACCTGGTAGTTGATCAGGCCCCACTGCTCAAGGAATGAGTGAACTCGCATAATAGCACAGACATCACCCGCAAGGTTGCGACGACAAGCAGTAACGGTCAAATACTCGATGGGGTTCAATCGATAGGTATTGATCATGAAGTCCCGGTAATCTTTGTATGTAGCAGGCGTCTTGCTGCGGTTGCGGCCATTGAAGAACTCGGCGAGAGCCTTCTTCTCGATTGGGTTAATGGTGTTCATATCAAACCATGTCGCATAGCTGGGGAGGATGATGGCGTGTGTTTGGGTGACGAGCTGTTCGCGCGCGGCGGCTTCCAGAGACGACTTGGATGGCGCGGGTTGTTCTTCACCCACAGCGTCCTCAAGCCCATCCGCTCCCTCCACTTGCGGATGCGACTCGCCAACAGCATCCTCCAAGCCCTCAGTGTCGGGCTTAGCGTCGGTCTCAGTGCCACCCATCTCTTCGTCTTCCGGTTCAACTCCGCCGTTTCGGGGTTTGGGAGATGCGGGGGCGTCCATCGGGTTGTCGGATCCAGGTGTGTTCTCAACCTTCTTCACAGGCGAATCCTGGCGCGATTGCGCTCCTGTCCACGAATTTAGCACTAGGTGCAACATCAAAGCCATTTGAGAGTAGGCATACCTGAAGCTTCGCGAGCTGCATCAGCTGCACCATCCAAGCCAGTCACAGACTGGGTCACAGACTGGACATTCTCGTGGGCCGCAGCTGGGTTGATGGGAGTGTCATCCATGATGGATCAAAGCAAGCAGCTGTCGCGGTCGGCAGAATGTCAACTCCTTTCCCGTGTGTCAATCTGTCTGCCGTGTAAAGCGCAATAGTAGTATGGATTGGAACAATAAAAAGCCAGCAATGGCGTAAATCAAGGCCGTGGGAGATGGAAGAGGAGGCCTAATGTGATGGTTGGACGGGTTGCTGGTGGGCACTGGGGGAGGATGGTCGCGACACGCAAAACTCACGGGCGAGTGCCAAGAGCTGAATCGCCACTAACCGCTTTGGGACTTGGCTGCTTTCCCTGTGGTCAGGTGATTCAATCTTCATTATCGATGTATGAGAACTATAAGGATTTGTTTCAAAATTTAATTTATTATTCCGATGATGTTGCTACTGTCAGCAATTTGAGACTTGTAAGCAGAGGCCTGCGAGACCCGTGGACGGGCCAGGTCATAGTGCATAGTAGATTGCGAATAGACATTGGACAACTGCCAAAATTAGAAAAGAAGCTGGGAAAACTATGGAATGCCGACTGTTATATATGATACAGAGTGAGCTATCAGCAATGGATAAAAGAGATTGTCTAATGCCAAACATGTTTCAATCTTGAATACAAAACAGCAATGTATTTTGTTTCCCTGTTCGTTCTCACCCTACATATGGTAATCTCAGTTTCCTACAATACCTCCAGAGTTAAAGGCCTTAGAGTAATTCTAGGTCATTTCAGTTGTTCCTAGGCTGATTTAAGTCAAGTCTCCTAATTACTCGAATATGTTTCCATATACTTTTGCGGAGAAAGAAATAGCAAAATTAGGCGTTTTAGGTGGGATATAGGGAGTGCAGGACTGTCGCACGCTATAGAAGACATGTACAGGATAGTCCAAAAATGGGATCGGAATCATCAATTACTAATTCTAAGGTCGACTTTTTTAATTTACATGTTGAACAAAGGTTTCTATGAAGTTAAATGCGCTTACAGGAATATATAACCAAAAAAGGATAAGATACAATATATAGATGCTAATGAAAATGATGATATAGTGTGGATTACTTCGGACTTACCGCTTGCTTCTTCTTAGCATGCTGCTCAGATTCATCTTCAGACTCATCGTCTCTGCCTCGCTTGACCCCAGGAGTAGGAGAGTCAATCGGCGCGGGGGCAGCAGGAGGAGCGGGTACAGGAGCATACGGAAGTGTGCCCGCAGCAGCTGCAAGTATATCGAGGGAAGAAGTCGGAGAAACAATAGGACTAGGCTCGGCTGAGCTTGCAACTTCTGCAAGTATTTCTAGGGGAGTAGGACGGTGGGCAGGAGCAGTAGGCCCAAGTACTTGGTTTGCCGCATCTGTAAGAACTTCTAGATTAGCAGCAGCAGTAACCACCCCCATGGCAATAGCAGCAGAAAGCACATCCCCGGCCCCCTCTTCGATAGGAGCAGTGGCAGAAGCAGGGATGGGAACAGAAGCAGCAGCAGGAGGAGGAGGAGGAGGAGGAGGAGGAGGAGGAGGGCCAGCACTGCCAGGCGCAGGTACTCTCCAGTCGGGATCGGTGATTCGGTAAAATCTAAGAATATCGTATAGAATTCCACCAAGGACTTTCCGAGTCTCTATCGATTGAACGCCTAATGGCAGCTCTCCCACTCTAGCGAGAATCTGTGCTTGGAATTGAGTACCGGAAGACCTTCCTGAGAACTGGTTTACCCAGGTACGACCTGGCTCAGCAAGCCAATTGATCAGCAAAGGATCGTAGACACTTCGGATAAGATCGAGGACAGACTGACGATCAAGCACGTTCTGTGGATGGTCAAGGTTTTCAAGATGAAGCGGCATCCAAATTCTCTTAATATTCTTTTCAGAGCCCTTCACAGCAGGGCCCAATCTCAAGGTGGTCCGAGGCATATTGGAGAATATTAAAGACAAATGATTTGTGTTGAGTGAGATAGTTGGGTTGTTGGGCTGTTTGAGTCTTGGTGATCGTTTGAATGATTATTGTGAATGAATATTGAGGGTTGAGACTGGCTTCGTTGGCACTTTAATACTCGAAAAACTCTTTGAAACTCGAACCAATGCCAATATTTGTCTGTAGATATTTTCTTTATCTTCTTATAGAACAAACAAATATGCTAACAATAGAATACTTGACAAAAGCCTCTCACCACCGAAAACTAATATAACCCATTGTTTCTTTCAAAATGGACAGCACCATTGTCATTTATTGGAAGTTGAAGTAAAGGATAAAGAAGAGGCGTGTTAGACTCTGAACAATATCCTTTTACACTCATTCAATAATAGGAATGTATGAACGAGCATACCACCAATCACAAGGCGCAATATAATTAGCATTTTCTAACATTGTAACATTGGAAGTGAACAAGGCAAAAGACAAATGGTTAAGTTCATTTTGAAGATTCCAAGGTTTTCTACTAGTGCTACTTGAGGTCTTTGGGAGCATGGTTTCGACATCGTGCTGCAAGGTAATTATATATATTTCCACTCTGTCTACAGTGAACTCACCATTCACCTACATCCTACATCTCCGTTCCCATGACTAAGGCAATAGTCTATCACTCCTCGCTATGGCAGTTTTTTGGGATCATCACATCAATGTGGCTCTGATGTGTCTAAAAGGGATAGAAATAATGTTGCGGGGATGTCTAGGGGTTGTTTCTTCTTATTTCCAAGGGTATTTTATCCTTGGACAGGTATTTTTAACTTTGTCGACAACATAGGTACAGTCCCCCATATAGTCACTCCAGTCAACATTCTTGACACGTTCAAAGGTCGGGTCGCGTATCATTAATTTTCATTTTTGGCTTTCCTATGTGATGTTACTCATCTGAACATAAAGACTTTCGTTTTTTGAAAACAAATCTAGTGTATGACTAGTATTAAATGGATAGATTGTATCAAATTCTGTGTGGATGCGACCTTAAATTCTATTGTATGCCTAGACCATATTCTCGGGCACGATATACTGATGATGGTTTATGTCCTCTTTGTGTTGCATTACTTTGTAGAAGCTAATTGGCATGTTTGTTTTTCTTGTTTTGCCCCTCGGAGTTGCCCATTTGAAAGCCCCAGGGCCGACCCCGACTCTTCGACCAATGAAGAATCACTGATTCACACCCGTTGCGGCCCCAGGCGCCCACACCGAGCCGGTTTGTTTTTTGCCCGATTTCTGAGCCCTAAGTGTCCGAGGTCAGAATTCATCCGATCCAAAATGTTCCCGGTCACGCTGACCAACTGTTGAGGTGATAAATCTATAGATTGATGCTTGTTATGAATTAGAAAATACAACGCTAAAATGGAAGGCATGGACTATAAAACTTTCTCACGCCCTCGTGGACTGAACCCTTTCAGTTCCAATTATCTGCCCTTCTCTCCGCTTGCGCTAGTACCCCAGTTAATTCCAGCGACCTTGATTGAGTGAAATCTGATATGCAGTCAATTTTACAGTATCGTCGTCTCCGCCGAGAGGTGGAAGAGGAGTTGGCAAATGTCCAATCCAAACCCTCCAGCTTGCGTTCCAACACCTCGCCATTCTCGCTCGAGGCAAATGCAGATGGTTATACGGGCCCCGAAACAAAAGAGCTACAAAAGCCAGTGGTATCAACTGATATGCTTCTTGTACCCGGTGTCACAGTTTCGCACCCAAACGGAGCCAACGGCGATATTGTCTTGGTGGTCGGCTGGAGAGACAATGACCCAAGTAAACCTATCAACTGGTCACTGCTGAAGAAATGGATGGTCATGTTGATGTGCGCTTTAATTGCCATTGCAATGACGGTTCCATCATCCGTCGAAGGTGCAACGCAAGACGCCTTTGATGCCCACTTTGGTGTGAACGGTATGGCTGGATCAATGACGACTGGTATGTTAATTTGTCTTTCTTCTTTTTTCACAACTTTCATTTATTCTGCTTTCGCTGTCGAGATCAAGTCCAATATGTACTGAATGATGCTGAATGAAGACAGGTATCTTTCTCATCGGCATTGGCGTGGGTTCGCTCTTCTCCGGCCCTTTCTCAGAGACCTTCGGCCGTAACGCAGTTTATTTCGTTGCTTTGGTCTTTGTCATTGTGTTCACCATGGCCAAGGCATTGGCGCCAAACTATGGTGCTGCCCTCGCCTTCCGCTTTATTTGCGCTCTGTTTGCAGCTGCACCTATGACGGTCGCAGGCGGAACTGTTGGTGACATCTGGCAACCCTTACAGATCCCTTTCAGCCTACCCTTACTCACTATGAGCGCCTATATGGGTCCCATCTTAGGACCTGTAATTGGGGCCTACACGCCAGAGATTGGGTTCTTTTGGGCTGACTGGATCTCTATGATCATCGCTGGCGTTGTATTGATAGTCGTGATCCTCGGTCAGCCGGAGACGTTCAGCCCTATCCTACTGGAATGGCGTGCGAAGCACCTACGTGACCTAACGGGCGACGACCGTTATCGCGCTGAACATGCTGCCACTTCCACTAGCTCGTTTAGTGCTCGGTTGTTGACCAATGTTTACCGACCTTTTGTGATGATCTGGACTGAGCCTCTTATCCTGATATTCAGCTTTTATCTTGTCTTGCTATACTTTGTGCTCTTCACTTCCCTCAACGGCTATCCCTTCATATTTGCTAACGTGTACGGGATCTCTACGAGCTTAACTTTTGTCATCTTTGCCGCTATGGTCCCTGGTGTTCTCGTCGCTCTGGCTTTGGTTCCTTTGCTTTATGGCCTCACCAAGAAGGCTGCCAAGAAGGCTGAGGATGAAGGTAAAGCTTTACAGCCAGAGGTGTCTCTCTGGTGGGCTATGGCGGGGGCTTCTATTCTGATGCCCATCTCACTTTTCTGGATGGCTTGGACTTGCTATGTAAGTGCTTGTTGTACCTTGCTTTCCGTACCTGTGCTAATACCGTCTTATTTTCTAGTCTTCTATCAGTATTTGGTCGCCGATCGTGGCCTCCGGTATTTTCGGCTACGCTCTTGTCTGCATCTTTACTACAACATATATGTACACCATTTTTGTTTACCTGAAGTATGCAGCCTCAGCTCTGGGATTTATGACGTTCTCCCGATACGTCGTCTCTGGCGCTCTGAGTCCAGCCTCGGTCAAGATGTATGAGAACATTGGCCCCCACTGGTCGTTGACAATTGTCGGCATCGTCGCAACTATCATGGCACCCGTGCCCTTTGTCCTGTATAAGTTTGGTCACAGGGTCCGTGCAATGAGCAAGAATGCCCAGAACAAGGTGTAAGACTGTGCGTATCAAATACGTGAGTTTCACAGACCTAGGGCATATTCTCTTCTTCTCGCCGGTGTTCCTTCGCAAATAACGTGCACATCTTATCAACCCGCCAACCTGTCACATGATGTCATCTATTGATTCGGTGTATACAAAGTCTATCTATTAATGTTAATTTTATAAGAGGTTCTTTGACTGGGTGACACTCATATGATAAGGTACTGACCTGGATCACAATCAAACAAGCACCCCATATCAATGAAGTGGTACTTGATTTTTCAGCAGTATTTTCATGCTGTGGCCTAGCCACCGTGTATTAAGATAATAACAGGCACGCCCTTTATCAGAGAGAGCGATATTTAAATAATAAACTATCATTAACTATGTGACTGACATGCACTGGTGGACTTTTATACTCATTACGTCATATTGACATAAGATGTTGTTTATAACCCGCTTACCGAGCCCTCCAGTGACCAGCCTGATTTCTTAAGACTGCATATTAAAAGATTCCTTTCCTTTGACACTGTGTATAAAAACATAGCACATTAGCATTCTTGGTAGACTGAACCTTTCGAGGTCAACAACATGACGCAAAATTCACAAGCTCCACTCACCAAGGAGTAAGTTCAGACACTTTTCCTCATTTGCTAATGTTCACTATGTTCATTTCTCAAAAGGTCAAATTCACCAACTAATTCCCTTTCTGTAGAGACTATGACAGAAATAGGAACAATAGCAACTGTCGTAATTGCAAAGGTGAGCCCACATTCTCCAAACAGGCTAGCAGTGCTAAACATCATCTCATAGGATGCAATGATGTATGCTTCTACACTATCTAGATCATTCCGCCACCAAAATAATGGGCTGCATTAATGCCTTGATTGAAATGGGCTTACAAGTAACTTTAGTGTTCCAATTGCAATGACTGTGTCGACTGTTCATTCTGCAGCAACTGCAGCAACTGTGAAAAATGTCAGCAATGTTCGAACATGACAAGTTGTACCGAGTGCCAGAATTGTTCCAATATGGTAAACTGCACTAATTGTCAAAATTGTTCCAACTTGAAAGTAGGTTTGTGACATAGAGTATGATTGAGCAAGAATGGTTGACTGATTGCCTTTGAACAAACAGAACAGGAACGGTGCTGTCAATGAGTCTGGGTAAACAGGCGAAAGCAATGAAGCCTCGAAGCGCCGGGAAGACTGTTTTATACAAGATGTCCTTTGCAGTGCTCCTATCATGTGGAAGCAACTGCACCGTATTTTTGGCAAATCATAGAAATATTTCTGGTTGTTGGGGGATTATATGATCCAATAGGCAAACCTTAGAAATCTACGCTGTTTCTAAGGTTGCTAGCTTTCTCCCTCTTTCTTCTTCTTTCTTCTGTCCGCTTTCCCAGATAAGACTACAACTTTTCTCTCATTTATTCATTTGATCGCATTGAAAGTCTACAGATCTTCGGCCACTCGCCATATCTCGCTGCCTTTTCTGAGAAAAGGAAGAAAAACAAAAGAAAAACAAAACATATCAGTCATTGGAAGTTACACTTAACTACAAGCCCCGATTATTATTGTCTATTATTAGAACACTCTTACGCTACCTGATGACCCTGCAGATCAGTGCTTGAGTAAAAACTTACCGCACTATCATTGGAATACAGAAGGCTTGAAGTCGTTGCCTAGATTACATTTTCCGAGAATTCATCGAGTGGGGTACCAAGTGTCAATTTATACAAATTAAAATGCGTTCGTCTCTGCTTGAAACACCACAAGGGATTGAGTTTAAAATAGCCCCTCGGCCCCTCTCCCAACAAGTTCTAAAAGCGGGAATAGTGGATACAAACGGTGATATGTATATGTATACTAAGAGAGCTTATGGAGTCCTATTGCTCTCAACCCGTCTCTATCCTTTTGAGCATAGGGTATAGAAGTCAAGCGGAGCATCTAGGATATTAAAACCATCACGTGGACGAGAATAACGGGATGATCTGAATATGGCACGATGGGTCGGGTATCTCGACAAGATCAATGGAAGCTGAATATGTTATCTATAAATGGCTGTGCCAAGGTCAAGATAATAGATGAGCTAGAAAATATTACGTAAATATTTTGATAATTCCAAGGCCCTCCTGGTGCTCGGGGAACTTCCTAAAATGGTTATGCGGTCCACGGGTTATGCGGAGGGTTACATCAGGGGATTGCCGGTATGTGATTGGCTGTTTTATCAAATCCTACTTACCTCTTGAGTCTTTATATTGGCACTTTCTCGTATGGATCTATTAACTTCACTCGATGGATTGTTGCCTGGCTCTTGTAGCTCATCACATAAATTGCCAATCGACGGGTTCTTTAATTCGAGTGAACTTCTTGTCCGGTTTCGGGGGACTCGGACAAAAGTAGAGCATGAGGAACCCACACGGTTAACAAAAAGCCACCCCTTATCCACACACTGAAGTTTCACCATGATTATCGATGGATATTATGCTTTCCTTCTATAAATCTATAAGTTGTTCAACGTTCTTCTTTTCCCATTTTGCCGACTCTTTTATGGGTTGAGAGATATCGTTGAAATTTTCAATGAGGAGCTTCTACTACATGATGGAAAACACTCTGAATCTAAGGCATCGCAAACGTAATCGTATATGGCCATGAGAGTTTCAATCATTGTGGTTTGACAAGGCGTTGAGATTGGTGTATTCTAAGTGCCTTTGGGATACCTGGTCATCACAGGCCATTCTAGCAGCTGCTAGGACTTATCTAATTCCTGGATGATATACCATACACTAGTCTGACTTGCACTTGCAGTCATCTGGTATAGTCTAAAGGCACTATTTATTTAATGATAGAGGCGAATTTGCTGCCAACATGGCAAAGAGTAATATACACCTGGCACCTATTATGAAGAGGCAAAAGAGTAAAAGCTACGATACGCAGATCCTTAGATCGTCAACAGTTGATTATCGACAATCTATCTCACTTTGCTTTCCTTTACGTAGGCGCTTTGTGGGCTTAATATACATAGATATTTTACCTTGGTAGCTTGTAAATCTAACACACAGGCAAGGCCCGGTTCACTGGTGATTTTGAAGTCAACAGAGATAAAACACTGGACCCCCCAAGCAAGTCCTCATACGAGGGGGCTCGTCATGAGCTTGGTCTGGGGGAATTCGAGCTTTGGAGAAATATCTTCCTAGCTAGGGCTAGGTAGGCAACAGTATTTGACTCAGTGGGACTTTGATTATATCGTTGTAACCCTATCGACCACAGAATCACGGAATCGGGGGGTCTGCGGAACACTATCGTGGGCTGTGCCAAGAATCCTGTTTCATTTGGTATTGCTATGTGTTTACAACTTCTGTTCTGGTATTACACCTCTTGATTGCATGATAACGAGAACATAACTTGCATCCATATTTAACCAGATCTGCTAGTCAAATGGTTACCACATAGTAAAACAATATGAAATGCATAGATCTCTCTAAGTGTTCTTAGAAGAACCATTATGCAGGAACTAATAGCTCTTGTAAACCATTGAGAGGTACTACTAGCATATACAGAATATACAGTATTGTTGTGTAAATATAGCCCTAGACTCCCTATTCTTTCCGTACCAATGTGATATTATTCACTTTTTGAGAGCCAGCAGTCTCTTACCAAACCCTCCTATTTGCCCATTTCAAGTCAGTCTTTTGCTTCATTGACGGTTCTTATTGTTCTAGTTGATTGGCACTGGGATTCTAGTGTCCTATATCACTCAACAAGCTATAATGATCATTATTTGGGGAAAAGGGCGGAAAAAGCTCATGTCTGTCGGAATTTTGTTCTTCGTTCTCGTCTTCGTTTTTCATCTGCTTAACTTCGCAAAACCCCTTTCCAATCCAAATGAGCTGTCCGCTTCAATGGATTTAATTACTGCGTGCGCTACCTCTGAATTCGAAGACCCCGACGACTCTCATTCTATCGCCGTCCCACAAATTCCCAATGTTGTTCATCAGATCTGGAAAACAAACGACCTCCGAACGTACTCTGCGCAAGTGAACGCATCCCACGACCGGTGGAAACACGAACTCGAGCCCCTAAACTATACAATCAAGCTCTGGACAGACAACGACATCCTCCAACTCATCAATAAACGCTACGCCTGGTTTTTGTCGACGTACGAAGCCTATCCCCAAAACATACAACGTGCCGACATAGCTAGGCTGCTTGTCGTCCACGCAGAGGGGGGAATCTACGCAGACCTCGACGTTTACCCGACCTCAGCGCCCCAAATACAATGCCTCCAAAGTCTCAATTTAGAGGCTATATTCGCCCCAACGACGGGTACCCTCGGGCTGAGCAACCATTTCTTCATGGCAGAGCCTGGATCACCATTCCTCCAGTGGGCAATATACGAGGGCAAACGCCGCGGTGGTGCGACGTCTCGATTCATTCCCCTGCCGTATCTACAAGTCTTTTGGTCCACGGGGCCTATGATGGTGACGGCGGCATTTCGAAAGTACGCATGGCTACACGGCACTCTTCGGCATACCCTGGGCTTGTTAGATGATGGATATTCGAGAGAGGTGATGCAGCATAAGGCAGGAAGGTCATGGCATGGATCGGACGGGCGGGCCTTGAATTATATAGGAGACCATATAAGGATGGATAGTTTGATGGGGATCGTTGCCTTTCTGTCTATTATCTCAGGAGTCGCCTGTGTTGTGAGAAGATATTGGGTTTGAATTGTGATGTTGGAGTTTTTCACATACTGGAACACGGGTGACAATGGAAGAATCATGTTGGCAATTTGGTGGATGGGCGTGTGGGTTTGAAAGCATTCCTGCGAGAATCCCATTGGAAATCAGAATTAGACACCCGGCATAAAATATTATATTACACTAATCGGCACAAGAGTAATCGGCCATATATATGGCCTGTGTTCTTCATAACGTAGGACTTCAATAATCCGATTTACTGTTGAGGGAGATAGGACCTCGATCCTCACCCAGTCATTAGCTGAATTCAACCTAGGGTTTCTTTCCCACCTTGCGATTCCCTATATTTATCTGGCTTATAATTAAAATAAAACTCCGATATTAATTCCAGATGCGTTCTTAGATATGTCTTCCCGAGTTTTTCTTTTTTGGTATTTCCTTTTCCGTGTTATAACTTAGAAAAGGACAATATATAATGGCACGAATAGAGTAGAGTTTGAGTTTTACAATAGACGAAGACGATGAAAAGTATACACTATGCTTAGGGCTCTTTATATATATAAGCCGGGATCACCCGCAAAATTGAGAATTTCATAATACTTAGTTGGAGAATATTATATTACTATGATAGGGCGATTGAGGGCAGATTCAAGCTGACTTCAGAGAACAATTACCCCTGCTGATCAGATTGGGTGGGGTCAAAAACCACAAAAAAGAATACAACAGCATATTTAAGGTGAGATAAAATCACTGACTTCTTACATAAAATGTGTCATATTATGCCAACTCCAGGGCTGTTCAATCACAATCTCGTGCTTGTCCCCTTTCCACGCCCTTCGAAGCTCCAATCAATTTGCGTGGCCATCCTCACCTTAACTCCTAGCTCATTAGCAAAGGCACGAACCAAGCCAGGGTTTTGCTGGAACCAGCGCCCAGCCTGCACTGCATCAATACCAGATTGCACCACCTCCTCGGCCAGATGCCCTGTTTTAATCCCGCCCACAGCGGTTATCAATAGCTTGTCGCCGACGGCTTTCTTGACTTCTTGGGCCAAATGAACCTGGTAGGCAGGCCCCGGTTTGATAGCAATTGCGGACTTGGGGTGGATACCACCTGAGCTGACATCCACCAAGTCAACACCACGTTGAGCTAAGAGTGGGGCGAGCTGAACCGATTGAGCAACTGTCCAGCTCTCGGGAAAGTCTCTCTTCAATTCATCGTTATCACTGAACTCGAACCAATCGGTCGCACTAATTCGGATCAATAGAGGCATTGTCTCCGGGATGCTAGCGCGAATTGCCCCAGAAACTTCCAAAAGTAGTCTGGTCCTGTTCTCGAAACTACCTCCATACCGGTCCGTTCTTTTATTGCTAACAGGGCTCAGAAACTGGTGCAATAGATACCCGTGAGCGGAGTGAATCTCAATAGCATCAAATTTGGCCTTGACGGCCCTTTTCGCAGCCTCCGCGAAGTCTCTGATCAAGACCTGGATATCCTCTAAGGTAAGGGCCTTAGGAACGGTGTTGACTCCTTTCTCAAAGGGGATTGCCGACGGGGCAACCAGATTATCCCACCCGCCGACTTCGATAGCAGCCATAGCGTTGAGGCTCAACCAGGGAGCAACCGCACTAGCCTTTCGACCGGCGTGAGATAATTGAATAGCGATCTTCTGACTCTGACTGTGGGCAAACTCGGTAATCCGCCTCAATGGCTCAATTTGACTATCTTCGTAGAGACCAAGATCTTGAGGCGTGATACGACCCACTTTCTGCACGGCTGTGGATTCCATAATTGCCAGCCCTGGACCACGCTGGAGAATTCCGCCTAGGTGCGTCAGATGCCAATCAGTGGCCTTGCCATCGTTGGAATTGGCAGAGTACTGGCAAAGTGGAGCAAGAAACAGACGGTTTGGAAGCGTCACACCGCGGATGGTAAGAGGGGTGAACAGCTTGATGGATCCCTCTAACTGTGTGCCTGCTGGAGGCTCTTGCGCTGGTGTGTAATAGGAGATGCCTTTGGCGGCAACGTTGTCAATTATACCTCGTGTCATGATGGCAGAGTTTGACTAGAGAGTTGAATGGCAAACCGGGAAACCGCGGATTGAGTCTGTGAGTGATATAAGACTCGAAGCAGATACTGGCAAATAAAATATGGTGAGAGGGCGGTGAAATTTTGCATTATCAAGAACAGGATAACCGTTTAAACCTATTGATTACAAATTCAGTATTCATGTTGTGATATTTTTCATGTGAGGCGCGATCACGAATCTTAACCCTGCAAAGACATGCATCACATACGGATACATTATTGGTTGTGAAGAAAACAAAAAGAAACCACTCTCCACCGACCCCAACGCCAAGGGAACAACATCCATCTCTCCGAATTCCGAATTGGAGCATATGAGACATTGGATCCTATCGGAATTGATTCATCATTTCGACTCATGGTGTAAGGGTAACGTTATACTCGTCATGAACAAGTCGAAAATCAACAACTATTTTCAATTGTAACTATTACGATGTCGTGGGATACCATAAGCAAAGAAGCTCAGTCCGCAGTACTAGAGGCCATTTCGCTTGACAGATTGGCTTTTTGAAGATGGTCCCCAACAAGTGAGAGAGCTTGAAAAGTCTCTTTCAACCCCCAGAAAAGTAATATATTGGATAGTTGAATTTTCAAACGAGAGCTTTTAAAGCACAATTTGCAAATGCATGGAACGGCACAGTTGGTCGCTCCGGCCGTGCCATTGATGCAGTAAAAGTGCCCCCAGCCCCTGCAATGGGCTATCCTCGTGACTTTAACATCTACTGGGGCTATACCTCGTTATTCAATCTTCTTGACTATCCTTCTGTCATCTTGTCAATTTCCGAACTCAAGATGGACCCTAAGCTAGGTCGCATGGATGACAACTACCAACCGTTGGAAACGAATCCCTAGGATAAGCCCAATTATGAATTGTGCAAGTCTGCTCAGTCGGTCCAATCCCCTCTACCCTCACGGCTTCTGAACCTTTGTCAATAAAAGATGATACGGATTTCTTTCGCAAACCAACCGTCAGCAATCCATATCGTTGGGCGCCCTTTCGAGGACGAAGAAGCTATTCAAGTATCCTCGATATTAGATACAATGTTCAAAGCTCTTTGAATTATACAAATTTTGAAATGAAAGCTCTTCATTCATATAATGAGTACTGCCGACGCCCTTGTCAGTACTTTGGTCTGTTCGCCCAGAACCATGTGAACAGGGAAGGCTATGAACAGATGCGATAATTATCCTTTCTGCCAGCGCCCTATCTCTCGTAACTTTCAGTTGACCTCTCTTGCATTTAGCATTCTCAACACACAGTCCATTCTATAATAAATTAGTTGTTGAATGGTACCTTACTGAGCCACTTCAAAATTTACTCCAGAGATGCCCTTTAAGTGTCATAGACTCCCCAACTCCGGTCTATCCACAGCAGTCCATGGATTCTTTCAAGTCCCCACTTACAGGGCGCTATATCCCTCAATCTCAGCCCAGGATTGAGCTAGATACGATCCGAAATCAGTGGCCTTCATTCTGATCAGCTATCACGCTAGGAGGGGCTATGAGATTACCAAAGGACAGGGATTCTACCGCACTATAAATGTTGGGCCCACAAACGACCGTAACCGCTCTCAGTTACGACGAGACCCTGCATATGAAATTCCAGCTAATGTCCGAGGAGAGCCCTAACTCCGACATATCCCTGGAGATAAAATATTCCAGCGGAGTTAACAACTGTCGACAAGGATCTATGGATAGAGATCTATATATGCCTAAATTCCCTCCCGTCTCAACGCCAGGGTTCATATTTAGTCCTTACCGATAATTCCGGCTTTCCCTACAATTCTCACTTCCACAACTCATCTAACTCTCACCTCGCCCATTGTTACCATGGAATCCCTTCCCTCCCTCCCCGCAGTTCTATTCCCCGCCCTAAGCAGCCGCGACGCCATCACCGACACACTCTATCGCTGCGTCCTCGGGCTGGACAATAACGACTCGACCCTCTTTGACTCAGCCTTCACCTCCACCGCTACATTCTCCATTAACGGCAAGGTCTCCTCGGGCCTTCCCGCCATTCACACCGATTGCTTCGACGTGATCAGCAAATTGGACACAACACACTTTGTCACCAATATCCGCATCAATATCGCCGACAGTGGCGTCAAGGCTGCTGCGACTGCCTCGGCGCTTGCGCAGCACTACGGCGGTGGAAAGGGGCTTCAGCCTGACCAGCCGCGTCTGCTAGCTGGGGCGCTATACTATGCTGATTTCGCGAAGGACGAGGAGAGTGGACTGTGGAAGATTGAAGCCTTTAAGATGACGACGTCTTGGGCGGAGGGTGATTGGGGTGTGATGAGCGCAAATTAAAGGATAGAGAGGGGAAGCGGAGAAAGCTCTACGGTTAAATAAGAGGATGATCCCCGTTAAATTTCATCTTATCGGGCGATGAGAAGTCGGTCAAGATTGTCTTCAGGGAAATATCGTATAGCTCCGCATAGTTTTCCGCATAACCCATTTTGTGTGGAAAGCTCATAACCCAGACCCAACCCAGACCCAGTGACTAGGGCCCCAGAAAACCAGTATAGGCCCAGTTCGAGCCAGTTTTACATAAAAGGGGGCCTTGGCAGTCATAAACCAGCCAAACCAGCTGAATTATACACATAATTAGCGTGTTTGTTTAATTTGGGGCCCAATTTGGGGCCCCAGACACAGTACTAGGTTACCCAGACTGTGGTTTACTGGGTCGTGCGGAAGACTAGCTCCGCAGAACAACTTATGAAAGCCGATTCATTACTCTACGTGATGCCTCTTACAGGAAATTTTGCACCACTAGTAGCCAAATAAATTTCGACGTGGTGTTCTAAGGGCTCCTAATATTCCCTCTTTGGGGGATCGGGCGAGACTAGATCTCCAATAATCAATTTTGGGTCGAATGTCTTGATCCAGAACCTAAGCCTAGTCACGGGGGCCCCAGAAAACCCGGAAATATCTCAGTTCGCCCCAGTTTTGCATAGCCCAAAACCTTGGCGTTTATAAGGCCGATAAACTGTCAAACAAATATATACCTCAAGTTTGTTGTCTAGTTCTTCTGGATGATGATATCATGATATTTCAATTATAGACTTAGGTAGCTCCCACTGGAGACTTTGGGCACTATGCAGACTTCCTTCAGCTATGTACAGATGGTACTTTCATTGTACGTGGAGACCGTGTAGGTTACAATTCTGTGTCACTCCACCGGGGATAACGCGACTCCCGTGGAAGACCTCAAAAAACCACGAGAAACCTATACCATACTTGGTATGGAACATACGAAGGGGGGGCATTCCGCACAAAGGAACCGTGCCCTACGGCCACCCCCTATTCTCTCCTATGTGCTAGGCTTATAACAAAAGCCACCTCTCCTCCGCCGTGGTTGAAGTTCGATGCTAAGACTGACCTAGAAGAACTTTTGATGGCTGTAGGATTAACCTACTACACCGTGTTTATAGCTGTGGGTAGGGCCCCAATCGTACTAGACAGCTCTTTGATGCATACTAGATGATTTAACCCTTCGACCCCAGCCATCTAGCTCTTCTGGATAGTAATCTCGGTCGTTTTCCAAATATGGCCTTCCTGCTCCTGGTGGGACGGTTGACCCCATTCTAAGGCTGAGGGCATGCTGTCGTCGATCGACGCGGCTGGTGTATGTGCGGCTCTATTCCCATCCTCCATCTCAATTATACCCTCTTCACTTCCACTGATAGGTTCCATGTCATAGATTCTGCTTAGTGCGCGAGATGTTCGAGTTACTGCTCCTGGCCGGGCCCGACTGACAGATGCCCCAGGTGCACTTGAGCCGTACTGGGGTGTGGCTTTCGTTGGGTTCGATGTTGACTTCAGGAAGTTGAGGGTTGAGCGGGCCAAGGACCATACGAAGGGGGCATTGGTTACCCAGACGCCGATGGAGGCTTCACGAAGATACCAGAATTGGTAACTCGTGTCCCAAATGTTGCGGAAGGTGAATATTTTGGAAATGATGGCACAGAGAATCTGTCATTCATTAGCACTCTCGGGCGGATTTCCGGTTGGGATGGGAAAATATAGACAACTTACTACCACAATACCCATTGAGAATACCACCACAATCGGAAGCTTAGTCCGCCACGGTATACGCGCTCGAAACAGGATGGGCAGCACCACAAACAGAATCGCAATATCCGAGCTGATGTTGAAGACTGCCTGTACAATCTCGAAGTTGAAATAAGTAGCGCATTCGCGCTGAGGCGGCGGCAGTGTCCAGTATCCGGATACGGGGTGGCAGTTCAAGAACAAGGTCAATTCGGTGGCCAGCCATCCAAGGGCGGTATATAGGGCGCATGCCTTGACCCAGTGATGTTGCTTGAGGTTCGATCTACAGTGTATCAGTTTTTGAGCGTGCGAACTGCTTGAGCTTAACTCACGTAATTCGAAAATATACCAATAGCATGCAGGCCTTCAGACAATAGACCGTGCATACTTGGCACTGAAAAGGTGAGTTAGGGATAGATATTTGCAGCTTGTCGAGGACGACTCACATGCTCCGAAGCAAATTCGATCTTCGATCCCAAGACTCGTTCTTGGATGTCATGGGCAGTGAATGTCTCAAATTGGCCTGGTTCGTACAAGGTGCTTCCGTATTTGGTGATCTCGATATTCGTGACTACAAATGCAGTATAGAAGATCTACATGAGACACACAGTTAGCCTCATACGATCACGAGGGGTAGACTCGGAGCCCGTTAATCCGTACGATTGCCAAAAACATCAAATAGTCCTCCACCTGAAAGTGGAACTTCAGACGCTTGTATCGAGCATAACTGCGATCCAATCAGCGACAAATTCAATAGCAACCGAGTCTGAAGAATACACCAACAGTCGCACAATAAAGAACAAGATTCCCACGCCGTACATAATCCATGACTCGACAATCAAGTCATGTGTCGAACCACCGCCTTGACTTGACATGTTGTGTGTATGTATGGGTGGTTGACCGTCCAAGGCTGGGCTACATGGGAATCTTAAAGTGTGTAGCAGACATTTTCAGGCCTGTAGAATAAGGGGTAGCACGCATCTCGTCCATTGGAGCGGAACGATCGTGACCGTTGCGATTATGATATGTCAAACCAAGAAATAGCCCGTCTAGCCATAATTAGAGACCGTGAGTTTTAGTGTGGCTTAGTGGTGAAACGGTCGTACTTTTGCCCGCATTATATCTTGTCTGGAGATTGCGACCCACATAATGATAGTCAACGGCCTCATATTGACAGGGGGCTGACGGTCTGAGATAAATCCACCAATGAGGAGGATTGGGAGTAACGCTGCCAATGAGCAAGTTTCGATATCACAGCCCATTCCATAGATTTCCCGATGATGCCGAGGGGCAAGATTCCAGCCTGGGCGTTTGGGCTTTGTACCCCGGCTTGAGTAGCGAACGTCTTGTTGGCGTCGGTCTCTCGCCGTGTAGGTTGTGTTGCCCCTCTTTGATGAAGCCCGAAGGTGGAGAGAATATTGGGGCTAGCGAATAAAATGCAAGGTATCCCGGCCGAAATGTGTCAGACGCGTGGATGCGAATGTGTAAATTAACTGTGGACAACGGCTGGCCGTTTGTGGATTAGCATAAGCCTAGTGGCGCTGCTAAGCATGGTACATGGTGGGGGACCAAGCACCGGAACGTGCGGAGCTCAGAAGAACTTCCAAAGTTATCATTTAGCATTTTGCACAGTACATCACACCACTTCTTCACGCTAGAATTCCTGAATTTTTACACGCTAGTGCTTACATTCCACGTGTGGAGGTAGGAATGACAGGATAAGAATAGCGGTCAGGGATGTACTAACGTGCGCTAAGGGTCTGCCACTATACAAGCGCAACACCATCTCCGGCTGTCGTTACATCGGCTGAGAGAATCATTTATTTAAATTCCTTAGCTTTGACAAGGATCATGTGCTAGCAAAACTCTCTTTATGTCCTTCTGAAAGTGTGAAGTTTTTCCAATTCTGTATCCGATCGCCCTGGTCGAGTTCTCTCAAGCTCCTAATCTGCATACTCCCGCTCTCCTCAAAACATCATGGAGCGATCCGTGGGAGATGAAGAGAAGAATACTCACCCTGAGAAGTTAATTAAATCGCCATCGTCGGGGCCAAGCTCATCCTTGCACCCGCCGAAAAATGTGTTCGAGCGGTTTAATGCCCGGCTAGGCCAGCTGGATTTCTTCGAGTCACGCGGTATTGAGCGTGTCCCGCTCGATGAGCGCAAGCCTAGGGTAACGTCGGCGGACTATATGCAGATGGCTCTGATGTGGTTCAGTGTTAACATCACGGCGAACAACATTGCCGTCGGTATGCTCGGTCCGTCAAGCTACGGGCTGGGCTTTGTCGACTCGGCACTCTGTGCCACCTTCGGCGCTCTGCTGGGTGCTGCAGGTGTCGCATATATGGGGACTTTTGGCCCAGCCAGCGGGAACAGAACTATGGTATGACTTTTACTTAATCGCGTTCGTATCAACCAGTATACTGATGCAATCAGGTCGTGGCTCGGTATTTCATGGGATATTACCCTAGCAAGATATGCGCTTTGTTGAATATTGTGATCATGCTGGGATATGGTATGGTCGACAGCATCGTGGGAGGACAAGTCCTCTCTGCCGTGGCTGGAAACAACATGACCGTGTCTGTAGGCGTGGTTATCGTCGTGGTCATTACTTGGATCGTGGTCCTCTTTGGCATGCGGGTATTCCATATCTATGAGCGGTACGCATCTTCACCTCATAATTGATCGATTTAGCACAAGTGAGTTACTAACCGAATCGTTGATAGATGGGCCTGGGTCCCTCAGTTCGTCGCCGCCTTTGTCCTTGTTGGCAGCGCTGGCCCCAAGTTTGACACCTCGATCGTCTCTACGGGTTCGCCGCAAACAATCGCCGGCAACCGCCTCTCCTTCTTCTCTCTCTGCCTATCCTCGTCCGTCGCCTGGGCTCCTGCCGGTGCGGACTTCTATGTCTACTTCCCCCCCAACACGCAGAAGTCGAAAACGTTCATCATGACCTTCCTCGGTGTTGGTCTGTCCTTGACCTTTGCCAACTTGCTTGGTGTCGGCCTCGGCTCGGGCGTGGCGACTAATCCCGATTGGGAAGCTGCAGACGGAATCTCCTCCGGTGCTTTGATCCTCGCCGGCTACAACGGACTCGGCGACTTCGGCAAGTTCTTGGGAGTACTAGTTTCCCTAGGTCAGATCGCCAACAATGTCGCGGGAACTTACTCCGCCTCCTTGGGCTTCCAGATGCTAGGCCGCTACCCAGCCAAGATTCCCCGGTGGGTCTGGACCTGCTTAGGTGTCATTATCTACCTTATCTGCGCGTTGGCGGGTCAGAATAGCCTATCTGCCATTTTCGAGAATTGGCTCGCTTTGATGGGCTACTGGGTTTGCATCTACCTTGTAATTGCCCTGGAAGAACATTTCATCTTCCGCCCATCGAGGGGCTTTGATTGGGAGGATTGGGCCGATCGCTCTAAATTACCTCTTGGTCTCGCTGCACTGGCAGCATTCTTGATCGGCTGGGCTGGTTCTATTGTTTCTATGAACGAGGTATACTTTGCCGGCCCAATTGCAAAGATGGTTGGCGATGATGGGTCGGATCTCGGCATTTGGGTTGGCTCGGCGTGGGCCATGGTGGTATATCCGGGATTACGATGGCTGGAGCTGAAGAAGTTCAATCGTTAAAGGCTTAAATTCGATGGGCTGTCTCAATATGTAAATTAGATGAAGTAAATTGAGTGCCATACCCATAGCCAGTGATCATTTTCTGAAGAAGTAATGGCTGGCTCCGGTTGCAATTTTTGTATATATGCACCTATACGTACCAGATATTCCCTGGTGGGTGGGGCTTTCCTATTTGAGCTACCGCCGCTTTTATGAGGGTACTCAGGCTCAGGCTCACTGAGTAGATGTCAGCACGGGCTCAGATCAGTGATCATGCTTAGATCAGTCACGTGCAGGATGACTGATACTTAGTAAGTGCTCAGTGAGTGCTCATTGGATGCTCTCTGATTACTCAGTGATACTCAGTGTCCAATCAGTGAGTAACACTGGTTTAAGCGTGTCAGCCCGAAAGGCGCACGGCCCTAAAGAACCGGCAGTCGATTTTCCATATTTAACGCGAAGGAGCAAATAGGTCAAATGCAAATAAAAGCCATCAACTATCAGCTCGCAATGCACAAGACGTACACATTCTTTCTGGGCGAGGGCTAGCCGAGAACTGCTGAAAGTAAGCAGAAGATGGTCTCGTGCTCGCTTCTCGCATCGCTCCGTATGTAGTTCTATATCAGACTCCAAGGCTACTAATCGACAGATTGTGCACTCACATCGTGTATATCTTCCAATTTTTGTTTGATGTATGTGTCTCTGTGCCTCAAAGCTTTGATATATATTGATTATGTGAATAGATTGCGGGAATCCTGGAATGGGTCGGTCTTGTTCCTCATGTCTGGTAGAAAATGGGGGGAGGGGAAGTATTTACGGTGACTGAAGATGTGATGGCAGGGAGAGTGGAGCGTAGATTTGACCAAATGAACAATCTGCTCAACTGAGGTTGAAGTTACCACCTCCCTCTCTCTCCCATGCAATTTGGTCAATAAACAGATTTAATTACCAGCCCCCAGCACTTTCTAACCGCAAATCCTACTTTCCCGCTTGCCAGCCCATATAAAAAACATTTCTCTTGACCAGGGTAGCCATTTCCCAGTGTGTTTTTGTTCAATACTATAAACCTTAGAAGCTGATTATTGATTATTCATTTCAAGCTTTCGCATACATCGGGAATAGCCTTTTTTGCAGCGTGACTGAACACAACATGCTTAGACCACACGATCACATATATGAGGGCTCTCACAGCCAAACTGAGGGTGGTGAACTGGGTGATAATCTGGTTGTGCTAATTTAGGATCACCGTGTCTGTTCATGATGATAAGTAGTTACATGAATACGTGGATACGTACAAAACGCGAGAATAGAAAATCGCCTATGTTCGATGTCTCGTTTATCAATGACAGGTTTAACTTCCATCGACAAGTATGTAAGTGTGCGTTGACTGCGCAGCTGCTTCAGCTTTCTGTTGATGGGTTTGTTCCTCTACTTCCAGGAGCTCGACATGACCGTCGACTGCGTAGCCTTCTCCCTTCGGTAATCTTTTCTTCGGCATTTGGAAGGCATTTGCCTGCTTCACACGAATATATTATGTATTAAAATACCATGCTTAGGAAAATTTTTGTGGTTGAATTACCAAAATTTGCCGGAATTTGGCTCCACGTGGGATGGGCTCAATAACCTCAGCGCCCACTTTCTGTTTGCTAAGTCCGCACCGAACCTCCCAGCTAGGGAAGGCAAAATGTGATTTCAATATTTCGAAATTTCTGTAATTTGGCCTCTTGAAATGAAATCTATGTACTTGATTTCCTCTGCCAATCTTGACTTTCCCTTTCCGTTCTAGTGCTCAGACCATGCCGCTTTTTGCTTATAGAGTACAACTGAGCACGCCCCTGAGCGCTCTGATCCACAGACAGGATCAATTGGCGGCCTGAAAGGAAAGGCTCAGAAGAACTGTCGGCGCATAGTTATACGTCGGCATACCGGAGGATTAATAAATCCCCAAATGCTGTAATATTTCTTTTGTAATCAGGGATAGTATAAATTGCCAGGATATTGGATATAGAAATACAGAGTTGAATACCATTGATTGGACCCCTACATTTACAATACGGAATACACCGACAAGAACGGCTTTATCACGTCATAAGTGGATAATTTATTATTCAGGGTTGGGGGCTCGGGTGTGGGCCCGCCGTTGTTCCCGCTCGGTAGACAATAAAAATGTTATCCGTTATTTACACTATCTAATTTATTTACCCTGCCTTTCTATGGACAAACAATCGGTTCATTGTCTATTGATATATTGGTCTGATTAACGTATATAGGGATCCGTGGGCAAATAAATCTAAAAAAGCAAGAAAGAACTCATAACCTTGGGTCTGGAAACAAGAATTGCCTCAACACTCAACGTCTATCCGCGCGAGTTGCGGTGAATTGAATTGCTATGATCGGAAGCAGAGAACACCCAGCGATAATTGCTACAAATATTCCAGATGACACACCCAGCCCGAGCGTGTCGAACATGGGTGTGAAGTAGAATGGTCCAATCTAATAAATCTCAAGTCAATGAAATGTGTGAAGGAAAGCAGTCTCAAGGGTAGTAGGTCAGGACAACGCCTGGGAAACGCAAATTTGGACAGGCCCGGACGTTCGAAGTTCGAATCTACCTGACCTTTGCGATTCACATACAGTAGAATCTCTCTATGGCGGAGAGTTGAATAACGTATGACGGTCATTTCCACACGTCACTCGGCAACTGAGGGTCCAATGGGCCCACCCCAAGTCACTTTAGCCGCAGTCAACAGTCACCAGTTAGAGGACGCGTATGTGCAATCAGTATCTTACGGTAATTACGGGTTCCCGGGTGAACGACTTCATAAAGCGTCTGTAGACCAATCATAACTTGTAAGTATGGTAAGTTCCCGGTACTGGTTTCAATACCGGGCGCCGGAACCCAAAAGTCAGGCCACAGACGGGCCGATGGCCATCCGAGCCCCACATCGTCTCCACATCCACAGATCCTTTCTTTTATACTCCTTTTCAACCTTCTCGTTCTCCCAGCATCTGCTTCTTCTTTCATATTCAAGACCTGCTTAGAGCCACAATGTGCGTCTATCCCCCGCTTTTTTGCAACCAATTGGTTGAATTGCGCTCTTTTTTGGAATTGGTCGCATATTGACTCTTGTTCTGCTAGGAATTCTACCGTGCTGCCCCCCGGCACCTATTGGGGCCAATATGAGGATATCACCAAAGCCAATGTCCACCTGAGCGTGCCGGAGAGATTGTGGGTTGCATGGTATGCGTGGATACAGAATGACGTCCTGGCTACCGGTATCATGTCCTTCGCCGTGCACGAGTTGTTCTACTTCGGCCGCTGTCTTCCGTGGATTTTCATCGACACGCTGGGTTTGTTCAAGAGCTATAAGATTCAAAGTGTAAGTCGAACGCCGAACACCTCACACTAGCCGAAATCCACCCAATTCCCCCCGCCATCGAAACTAATATCCTACTTCAGAACAAAGTACCTTCATTACGCGAGCAATGGGATTGTGCCAAGTTTGTGCTTCTGAGCCACTTTACCGTCGAACTTCCTCAAATCTGGTATGTTTATGCCCTCGACGGAGTGGTATTCTAACTGCCGTTTGCCTCTCGGGCCCGATTGAGTACTAACGGCTCTTCTAGGCTTTTCCACCCAATGGCGCAGTACTTCGGTCTATCAACCTCGATTCCTTTCCCAACTCTCTGGAGTATGGTATATCAGATTGCAATCTTTTTCGTGATGGAAGACACTTGGCACTATTTTCTCCACCGAGCGTTTCACTGGGGTCCACTCTACAAGGCTATTCACAAAATCCACCATCAGTATTCCGCACCATTCGGCTTGGCCGCCGAATATGCTTCTCCTATTGAAGTGATGATTCTCGGCTTCGGAACCGTCAGCTGCCCGATTATCTGGTGTGCTGTTACCGGTCACTTGCATATTCTGACTATGTATGTCTGGATTATCTTACGCTTGTTCCAGGCCATCGATGCCCATAGTGGCTACGAATTCCCATGGAGTCTTCACCATTTCTTGCCTTTCTGGGCTGGTGCTGATCATCACGACCTTCACCATGAGAAATTCATTGGGAACTATGCAAGCAGCTTCCGCTGGTGGGACTACGTCCTTGACACCGAATATACCCCGGAGGCCCTGAAGCGCCGAAGAGCGAAACAGGCGGAGGCCAAGAAGGCACAATGATCTGTCTGAACGTTAGCATTGACGGTCTCCATTTTTTCTTCAGTATGGGCCTACTGCGAAAGCATTCTCCAAGAATGTTTTCATTAATCAGGGAACGAAAGTTAGGGGATCGAAGACGATCAGATACCGTCGTAGTCTTAACCATAAGGTCACCACTGCGGTGGGTGATATTAGTTGGCGCTTTGTTTAGTAAAATGTCTTCGAAACTTCGTTGCCAGCAGAATTGTCTACCGAGACGAAATCGGGGTCAGTCGTCGGACAGACTCAAATCGCGACTCTGAACGAGCTATAAGTCCTTAGTTACGGGTGATTGGCGTAGCGATTACGAGAATGTAAGCGCAGTGGAGCCTTCGTCGAAGTTGCCCGCCCCCCCCCCCTCACTACGAGACCAATCGAACAAATACCTCATGCTCCAAGTGGGGATCTCCTCTCTGCGCCTCCAACACACGGCTCGGGGCTAAAATACTGGAAGACGTGTGCTGACGCCCCTCATGTTGTAGTATGTAGGCCGTTGGTCTCCACTGCGATGCATATGGATAACCCCACCCGGAACAGGGGGCGGGCCGCAGAGTTTCCGCGGTTGACGACGCCCGTTCGCTGCATGCAAACCAGAGGGAAATGGGCTATGAAACCATCTGATGAGTTCTAACTCGAGTCTTACTCGAGACTGAAGCTGGGCTTGTCCTCCGGTGTTTGTGGGATCGCCGAGGCAGGAGACCGGACGCCTCTGAACGTGAACACCCTCTGATATTGCGAGACGCCCAACAAACTTGAATGAGGACAATATCGAAGACGGAACGTCACGAGACAAACACGAGGAAGACACATATTATGGCGCAGCAGGCCGAACAACGTCGGTTGGGGGTGCCATGGACTGGCCTGGGTTGGAACCTCGTTCAATCAAACCTTGGAAGCAACGGGCAGCCCTGACTAGGATATTTATCCTTTTGTATCATCTAGACGGCGTATTCAGTCTAGCTACGACCCTCGACGAACTCATCAAGGCATAACTAGGTAGCCACGGGTGCTCGAGAGGGCTGCAAAATCAGGTTCACAAGCTTGGTTAGTGAAAAACAGTCAGAGTATCCTATAGGGACAATGGTGATACTCATGAGAGCCTTTGAGAGACACGGTCGGCCCGCAGAGAGAGATCTCGACCGACAACGCGAAGAAGTGAGACATACATTCTGTCAATTAAATCTGGCGACATTGCGACGACTTCCCCGGTTGCCCTCTTTCTGATAATTTCTAGGTACTTCCTATATGTTCTTCTTCTTGTCTTTTTTGCTGTCTTTTCAAATGTTATTTGAGGCATAGCCGCTAACCATCGAATAATATGGCTCCAACAGAACCCATTTCATAGCAGCTGTTTCCAGACTTTGTAGACGGTATGTATTCCTGTAGGGCGCGGTATATATTAGCATTGACGAACGAACCGAGAGCACCCAACGAGACTTTCTATATGGCCCGAGAGGACGGACGCGTGTATCGTTGTGCAAAGAGACAGAAACAGTCACCTGGGCACCTCACTTGCACTGAAGACCTGAAATCTATCAGACAAAGGGTGTCGTTCTAGTGGGGCAGGTCACTACCAGCGAATCCTCACTGTTGTATGTTTTTGTTTGTCTTTTTTTTGTGACTCCTAGTTGTAACCTTGCAATTGGCTGTCATTCTCTTTTTTAACGCTTTAATTTCTAGGGTGTGGGGAGTAATTTACATGAAGCAACCAAAAGTCACCGTGTTATAAAGCGATTTTTACCCAAAAGTTCATTTTCGGCTCACCATCTCTTTGACCGTGTCGCCAAATCCAACCATACAAATTGTGGTCCACGCAGCAACTCCAATGCGCGGGACCACACCGCGGAACAAGCCCTTCAAGCCCGAGGTTGTAATTATGTGTTTGAATGTTGACACAATATTTGGTGACGCTGGCCTAGTGGGATCATTCTTCATTGATTGCATCTCCACTCGGAGTACCTAAGAAAGGGAGTTAGAGATCATTGATATTGCGCGCATCGTGGGGGGGAAATACCTCGAATGGCTGATTCCAGCAACTGAGAGCACAACCAATTGTGGAGGCAAGGATGTTTTCGCCAAAGTTGATTTTCTCATTCGTGGGTTGAAATAAGAAATTGATAGGTCAATTGAATAGCCCCACTGTGAGATTTTTTTACTTGGATAGGATTGAGACCGCTAGGATGAACGGTCATATTGACTACGCCCGTCCTTTTTTGATGGGCGATCTAAATGGGATGATCAGGTGATGATCAGTGAGCAGTCATGCTGATTATGTAATGAATCGGTGATTAAGTCAGGGTACCTAGGGGCGTGCTCAATTTTACTCAGTGGTTAAAAAGCGGCAAGAGGTGAGCACTAAAACGGAAAGGGAAAGGTCTCGAGTGCCAGGGATTATCCGGTACATGTGCAGTTTTAAGGGGTATTTTTGAAGGAATCGAGATAGGTGGTGATTGACGAAAAGCCGGAAGACTGATTTTTGGCTAATCCCATGTACTCAAGATGTACATATTATTAAAGCTATATCGTCGATATGACTATAGAGTGGTGGAAAGATAAAACATTAGGAAGGGTAATATTGGCACAAGCGAACCTCCAGTTCTACATGCACAATTTATCGACCGAAGTACTTGAGCTCCAAGTATCTTGCTGGTAGATAAGCCACAGCCGTCACAACGAATGTAAATTCGTTGGCAACATCACCACCGGCGTCTCCAATCGTCGCAGCAAGGGGACCGATAAACCAAGTCTCATCCATTCCCAAGCACCACGCCACAACCCCAAGAGCAAACGCCACACTCGCGCCAATTCCCAACGGAAGCCTAGCCGGATCGTTCCATCCTTCGAGATCATAGTTGTCAAAGTTGCCCTTGCGGAAGATATAATGTTCCTGGAACAGGATAACGGCATAACTTGTGCACCAGTATCCCAGCAGACTCAAGAAATTTTGGAGGTATTCGTTCAGCTTTTGCCGACCACCAATTGACAAACCGAGGATACAAGCGAAACAGAACAATGTCCAGAGAGATCGAGGAATGCGAGCGAAGGGTCGAGCAAGTTGCTGGAAGGAGATAGCGGAACTGTAAATGCTGATGACGTTGACGTTGATACCAGACAAGACGAGGAGAGTAAGAAGGAACTTGGCGAATCCGTGAGGGTGAAGCATCTCTTGAATGAGATAGCCAATACCCTGATCGTATGCGGCAGACCATTCGGGCTTCGTGTTTAAAGCGGATGCGACCATGCATCCAGCAACCATGCCGATCGAGGTGGGAATCGAGATACCGAAGGTTGTCATGACGAAAACCTTCAAACGACTCGTGTTGGCAGGATAGTGGACATAGTAGTCGCTAGCCATTGTGCACCACGAGGCACTAGATCCGTAAACAACGGCCATGAGACTAAGAATAGCACCGGCGAGATTGGAACCAGTCACGGTAGCCGGGGCCGAATTGTCTGCATATTCACCGGTCTCGCCGTAGATGATCAGGAAAATGACCAAAAAGACCATCCATGCCCATCTCTCGTAAATCAAAATGGCTTTCAACCCGACGCAAGAAATCAACAGGGCCACGACAGCCAAGATAACAATTCCAAGAATCAAAGAGACGTGACCATCGGAGACTGCCGTCAACGCAAGACCTCCAGTAATACATGCGACGGCAGCCCATCCCATTTGTTGGATACCGTTCAGCAAGGCGACCAGCTTATTAGGCCACCAACCAAAGCTGTACCGACTAACACTGATTTGACGTAAACCAGTCACGGCGCCAAAGGTCGCACAGAACCCACTCAGCGAGGCAGCCAAGATGGAAACGAAAATGGTAATGAGGATGGATTGTTTCATGGTCAGGCCAAATTCCCAGCCGAGGAAACCAGTCGCAAAGCAGGAGGTGTTCATCGTGCCACTCGCCCACAGCGCCGCCATTGATATCTCCTCCACCCAATGGACCTCTCTTTTGTCTTCAGCGCGCTTGCGCTCGATGGCATCGGATTCTATACCGAGTTTTTTATCCAGCCTAGCCTCCAGGGCGCGAATCCTAGCCAGGATACCGGTCTCGTGAGGGGGCGCATCGTCAACTGAAAGCACCTCAGGTGAACTATGTTTTTCAGCGGGGTGCTGGACTGTCGCAAGACCTTTCTCCGGATCATAGGCCATGATTCCTAGTGGATTGAGAAAAGCAGTAGAAAAAACAAGGTGCAAGAACTCTGTGTGCACCTGGGGAATCGTAGAATTTTCAAGACCGTCCGTCCACGGGTGGGTGTGGGGAAAAAGATAAGGCTTGTATGGGAAAACCTTTCCCAACTCCACCCTGGCGCTCTTTCCCAATTTGATAGTTATCGGAATCGTTACATTGGCTCCATGTAACTGCCTAGTCTAAATATCATGTTCCTTTCGGCTGATATTTCCTACCAACTCACGCCACACGGGCCCCTTAGTTATTGGGTGGTCACCGACGGTTTCCGCTTATCGAAAAATTTAAAGAGAATTAGGCGTACAACCCACGAGGTGAATCTATATTACTATGCCTCTTATTAGTTACATCCAATGTATGGAGAGGTATTAGCTCTTAGGGCTTTCCTGGATTTATATTTTTTTAGTGGGTCCGGAAGTCCCCGACAGTTCGAATTTATCTGATAGAAAGGTTTATTGCCATTGAAGAGCAGTGCGACAGATTTTTGCGTGTGAATGTGTAACCTCTGAACAGATAAGCCTTGCCCAGATGCTTGGCTCGGTTAAGCAAATCTCACCCTATCCCATGGGTGAGGGCATGTGATACGAACACGGCACGTGGTGGCTGCTTTGCAGGGTTTGCATACTATTGATGCCTGAGGCAGAAGTGTCATTCCGCCACATCAACCGGCCCCTGTAAGTTTCTTTCAAAAGATACGGACCCTCTCGCTTGCGAGGGTCTGTAATTTTGGTACGAAGTACAACGCCCGGTTAGTCTGAAGGTTAGCGCGACAGCGACAGAGGAACGGCTTTTTCGCTTTTCAATTTTTTTTATCTATCAGTTCCCACACATACCGATCCGAATCTCCTGGCCCAAAATTTAAAGAAGAATGCAACTGAGACACCTGGACTTACGTACCCATACACGAAAAATACCCAACATACCCCTATGACTTCACTGGCAATGAGACCTGTGGTTGATGAAGGTCCTTTGATGGTTATTGTTAACGGTACTGGAAACCTCAAACTTGATAGTTCCCCGGCGGCAATTTCTGGCCATGAGAGCCACAGGCTGAAGAACAGCTGGGCGGACAAGAAGCCTTGTTTTCCTCACCCTATGCATGTGGGTATCAGATTACATCTGGGAGTGGAAGATAGAATAGATATAGGCCACAAAAGACTTTCATTAAATTGTCCATTTAGTTCGTAAATTGACTCGTAATTACATGATTCTATAAAAACATAAAGGAGGCTGTCAACATCGCTGCGATCAATGCCATGAGACCCTGCGCACCAGCCGATTCCTTGGTTAACACTCCGCTAGCAGCTCCGGTGTGGTTTGCCGACCCGTTGACTGAAGTTGGGGTAGCCCCCGATCCAAGTGGCAGTCCCTGGTAGCCGAACGTCAGGTTCTGGGGAATCGACTGATTATAGCAGTGTCCGCTCGCAATATCCAAGTTGGTCAGGTCCGCTGAGTTCAGGAAGAACATGTACTTTGATTGTTTTATTCCCTTGAATCCGGAGGTGTCGTATGGGAACTTGTCGCCCGGATCGGTTGCCGAGGTGTTGCGGAGGAAGATACACTGGACTTGATTGGGGAAGTCGGTGGCCAGTTTTGGGTAGTCGCGCATGACGTCGCTGTTGCTGGTGTCTGCCACCAGGACAAACTTGCGCTTGGGGAAGGTTTCAAAGATCTTTTGTAGTAGGAACTTGCGGATCGATAGAGTGGCAGAGACGTCGCTGAAGTTGAGAGGACGGGTGTCAAAAGAGCCTCCCGGGTAATTGGTGTAGATGAACTCCATGTAGTTTCTGGTAATCTGTTCGGGGGTGGTGGTCTGAAATGACTGTTAGTGTGTTGAATAACAGAGAAAGCAGAGGAGTCTTACAAGGTAGTGGAAATGGGTATCGGGGAGGCTGGTGGACCAGTTGCGGTAAATTTCCGGCATGTTCTCCCAAGCCGTGAATGGACGAGCGAAAGAATTGAGTAATCCTTGCTCTGGTTGGTAGATCTTGGTGACGCGCAGAATATCATCGATGTCAGAAATAATGGTGAGTCCGGTTGGAGGAACAAGATAGGCGGTAGAATTTCCGATACTTGCGCCCTCGACATGAGTGTCCAGTCTCTGGATTGCGGAGGTTTCATTTCCCGCAGTAAGACCATTGCTATCAATCGGGACAAAGGTGTCGAAATCACCCTCGACTGTTGTGTTATAAGGCAGGGTGATATCTTGCGTACCACCTGTGGTGTTGGATGATCCACCGCCGCCTGGCTGTCCGCTGGATCCCTGACTCGCTGCAGGCTTGAGATGGATCTTGTTCACAGCAACTTCTGGCTGCTGCACAACGAAAATTTCGGCAGTCAGGTTACGTGCCTGGGCCTGCTGGGATTTGGGAAGGTCCGAGATGCTAGTGTTGACGAGAAAGATATCGGCCAAGTCATTCAACTTTGAGACAGAGGTGTTTGGCTGCTTATAGACATTTCCGTGGAAGCGAACGTTCCAACCTGAGTTGGTCCAGTTGGCATATGGATCGATATTCAACACATTGGTTGGTAATGCTTTCAATTCGGAGCTGTCCAATCCGAGGGAGCTCACTACTGCGTCTCCAGTCGGGAAACCCTGGAAGAAGTTGGGCACTCCAGATGCGACCCACGAAGGTAGGCCAGACCCAAGGTCAGACAGGACATTTCCGACATCAGATTCAACATCGCTCAAGATGTTTCGGCCAACGATGGGAGAAGGATTATGTTCGACCGGGGAAGGTGTAATGACGGGGTCGGGCGGGGCAACATTGTTGGCGAAAGCAGTTGGAGCGGGGGAAGCAGAGGCAATTGATAGAAGTGAGGCCTGTGCCAGGGCATATGCAGGAATATATCTCATTGTTTCCAAGTAGTTTGTAAACTGCAGGACAATTCTAAATAAAACGCTCCCAAAGCAACCACACAACAAGTTGGCAGGGAAATGATGAAATGTTTGGGAGTTTATCGGAGTAAGAATTCTACGAAACCAAATTCTGCGGCCTTCAATCTACTTAAAAGGTGTAAACAAGGTCCTACAAGATCCCAAAGCCTTGAAAAGGGAAATTAACAGGGAATATCCATCGACGTCATTGTGGGGCACTGTTGATGTTTGACCCAATTAGGATGTCCCCGGATATTATGTTCGACGATCGTACCTATTTGTATGTTGCAGGGTCGCTCTACATATGCTTATTCCCGATACCCGAAGTGTCATAGATTTTTTAGTTGAAGAGGATTCAGAGCGAAAGAGCAGATTTCTGTCGGTAGCTTCCTGACTAGGGCAAAAATTACCCCATGTTGTTTCTTACGATGACCACCTCCAATTTGCTTCACGGAATTGTTGTATAAAGAGTAAGCTTCATATCTTGTTTTTCTTAATGAACGTCCTGATAAGCAGGCTATATTAAGCCTCCTTCAGTCTCAACATGATTACGTTGACTATATAGCATGAGGCATATTAATGGTGCTAAGTATTGGTAATTTTACGATATGATGCTTTGCATGTTGTAACTTTCCCAAACAACCTAATACAAAAATATGATATTTATCGTTTGGGCAGAGATTTATCCGTGCTAGCGATATCATAGGGCTTTATGGCCGTTCCTAACCAGCGGAATATGATATGGAGGAATGAGTACTGGTTATCTTATAGGACAATGTGTAGACCTCGGGACAACCCACCTAAGCAGGTCCACGTGGACAGGATATTAACAATTTGCCTGAGTAAATGGATCTCGCCGCCCTAGAGAAATATTTTCTTTGGTAACAGGCAGGTCATAGACACGAATAGATTGGCACACTTCCCTAATAGAAAATATAAGAATACCGTCGATGCGGGGGCCGAAACCATAAAATGCAAAATGTGCCAAAACTCATATGGTATACAACTTTGAAAGTTCAATTACACCATGGTTAGTTCATTCACTCAACCTAAATTGACGCGGAAAAATTCTACCCTTCATCAATCCCTTTTTCTCGCACGCAGCATCCCCAAGCTACCTACCTCACTTCACTTACGGCCGTCTAATGTATCTCTTCATTGCCGCAGTGGCTGTGTCCACATTTGCGATTTACAAGTCCGAGAAAGACAAACGCGACTTACAAGCCATGTATGATCGAGTAGATGCTTCCATCAGGAGGTGGCAGCGCGAGGAGCGGGCCAAGTGAAGTGGCCCAACGGCGTTTCAAAGCTCTCGAAGATCAAATTCAAGCAAACACCGACCGATCAATTCTATCTAAAGTGAGCGGGATGTGTGGATTAGCATTTGGTTGCTCCCCAGAAAAATAAAAATTAAATCCCCGCTAAAAGGAAGTTTTGCTGGGTTGAGCACTTGGGCTCGCTTTGCATTTTCTGATTTCTGTGTACATCTCTGGGGCTCGACCCGAAGTACCACCACGCCAATGAAACGATCGTGCTTCCACGTTAAGGGATCTGCAGACTATTCTCAAGGGGTTTCACGGGCTAATCTATCATTGTGGATGGAGTATGAGGGATCCATTGGGAAGTGTTACTACATGTTTCTTCATAGCTTTATAAGATTGCAACATGCTTGCTTTATTGCTATGTATGTACTTAAGCAATAGCCCTAGGCAGTCATATCTGTCTTTAGATCACAATTTAACGGCTCCCTCTCTAGCCCTTTTTTTCTTTGACTTTAGCTCAAACAAGGGGTTTAATACAACCTCCCTCCACGGACAATGAGCAATAAACTGTATACTGGTGTATAGGTTTACAGTAGATGTAGAATCACAGAGACTTGCCTGGTATCAGATGCTAATGTAGGCTTTAATGGACCGCTAGGCGCGATCATGAGGATCAATATCTAACACGCACTATTCTTATTGAACACTCCACCATGGGTATTACATTTCAATTCTATTACAAAAGGCTCTCGTAAATACTGGCGGCATTATGTTAGGTCTAAATTCCTAGTCCTGGGACAGCTTCTTAGTCCCGATTTTGTATCCATAAAACCCATTTCCCAGAATGTGTTCCAAAGTATATTCCATACTGCCTCGGTAGATATTTCCCTATTCTGTCAAGCAATACACCCATCGTACAGTTGGTTGGTGGAATTACCATTCTGAATGATGATTTCCCCCCTCGATTCAACTATTCATGCCTTGTACTCAGGTGGCGGAGCCGAGGCTATCGGTGCTATCGGTGTTGAATTGCCCTTTGAGTGCGTACTTGCATGGTTACGCAATATCATCCTGTTCTTTGGATTATTGGAGTAAGTTTCGGGGGTGTAGCCACCGTTGTCCTTTACGTCCACTAGAGCACCATGCTCAAGTAGAAACTTGATCATATCAGGGCTCTCAATGTGTCTCATGTACTCGGAGATAATCGCCACATGAAGGGCCCGACGTCCGTGATGGTCTTTCAGCTCGATATCGGTGCCATGATTCAAAAATATTCCAACCATCTCGATATTTCTTGCCCTGACAGCCTTATGAAAAAGCAGCTCTTTGTGGCGATCGCAAGTTTTACCCAGTTCTGGATAATGGCGTAAAAAGACTTCCACGGTTTGCGCATGACCTCTTTCAACTGCGTGTGCGAAAGGGAAGTTCCCCGCGTAATCTTTTGCGAAGACTTCCAAACTAGGTCCAACCATCCGGTTCCAAAATGATCGGGTCAGAGTCTTTTCGTGCTTTAGGAGAAGCTCGCAGACCCCATGATATCCTCTTGCAGCCGCCACGTGTAGCGCCGTCTCTTGCCTGGGAGGACTTAGGGTGGGGGCATTGTAATCCAGAAGGAGTTTGAGTATTTCCGCATGGCCCTCGGCTGCACAAATGAGAACGTGGCTGTGCATTTCGATTTCTCGTGTCTCGCTTGTAGGAGGATCACATTCAAGGAGCAATGAGACAATCTCTTTATGACCGGCTCTTACCGCGAGGCGGAGTGGCGTTGCGCGGTTGCCATCCTCGATCCGAGGTGATGCATTCTTCTCGAGAAGAAGGCGGGCGATATCCCAGTGACCATTTTTGGCTGCATTATGAAGAGCCGAAGTTCCGATCTCGTCCACAGTATCTGGATCTGCCCCGCCCTCTAAGAGCGCCTTGACGAGATCAAGTCGGCCATGGTCGGCCGCAATGATGATGTTTTCAGTGGGTTCGGGTTCTTTGCTTTTCGAATTTTCAGCCATCTTGACAAACACAGCTTGATGTCAGGAACAAAGTTGAAATGTCTACAACATAGTCTCATCGTATCGGGGTTTGGGGGTTCTTGGCACGCCTCAAGTCGACTTAGCCCATTCTAGTACGGATAAGCGAAACCATCAACCTAGGGAACGGAGTATAAAGTGGATATCTATGGGAGCCGCGTATAGATTCTGCCAAAGTCGGCAGGATACCAAAGTCGAAAGCATAAACTATATTAGGCAGCAGCGGCCTTCTCATTGTTCGCCTTGGTTTAAGCTCAATTGTGGTTTAGAATGGACGCAACAAAGATACCGAGGCAAAAAGTGCCAAGAGGCTGAGTGTTTCAGATAAACAAAGGCGATCCAATCATAAATCGCCAAAGTTCAGCTGAGTGGGTCAGTGCAGAAGCCCCTATTCAGGTACTGTGTACGGAGTACGGCGGAGTACTCCATACTCCGTAATCGCATTCTTGTTCCCATAACAACCTACAACATCACTTGAACTTTGAACCTACAACATACATTCCTATCCATTGGTGTATCAAATATATACGAGCGTAGGGTGTGGAATAAAAGGCTTCCCGTTCATATGCCGTACCTAAACCCATTATTCTGCATACTCGCTTCTTAATACGCCCTTAGCACCTAAGTGGCACTGGTGAGTGCGGGTGATATAGTGGGGAAGTCTAAAGACCGGGGGGAGGGGGCGAAAGAGGTAAGAACGGCCCGGGGGGTGATGATTTTTACCTATGTTGTATCTAAAATAAACGGTAAATAGGGGCCAACTCACTTGGACCCCATCCCCGTTCCTCAACTAAAGATATAAATCTAAGAGTTGACACTACTCATATTTGCTTTGATTTGCATTGTTCTCAGATATATTCATGCCGTTTTAGTAGTAAGAAAACATAGCTTAAAGGGTGTGTTATAAGAATATGTATTATATTTTAGTTGTGGAAGAATTAACGGGTCGAAGGATTAGAAGTGGGGACATCAATAAAACTATGTAAATAGACAGACCTCAAGAACCTTGGAATATCCATGGATGTAATGACTTAAATTATAATCAAAGGGACCTCACCCAAGTACATCACCTGACGGAGGTCATCGTGGCCAGGTTTAGTTTGGGTACCCCGGTTTTGCATTACATAAGACCCCCATCAATGCCCAGGTGGACTGCCGGAAGCGGCTAACCCCCGTTTCTACCTACGCCAAGCCAATGCACAGTTTGGACCCTGAGAAAATCCGATATGATACATATACGAGCCTCCAGTTCTTGGTAGTTTTACGACGAAGTAACCACTGCAGTCATGTTGAACGATCTACCCCCGGAAATACTTCATCTAATTGCGCGAGATCTCAATAGCCAGCCTCTCTCTCACCTGGTGTCCTCATCACGTCGACTGCACACTGTACTGCAGCGAAACCTCTACACCAACGTGACTCTCTACGGATCGGAGAGTAGTGAACAAAGAGCCAACATCTTCCTATACACCGTGACCAGAACACCGAGGCTGGCTACCTATGTTCGGTCCCTGCAGGTGAATACTGGGATACTCACAACGCCGACAATAAAAGCTATACCCAAATGATTGGATTTGATGACAATCTTGTACGAAGGCTAGTCGCCGAAAGAACGGGATATTCCAATGAAGAGAGATCGGAATGGCTCGAAGATCTCGAACGGGACAACAGTGGTGCTTGGTTGGCTTTGCTTATTCCGCAATTGAAGGAATTGAGGATACTCAGCCTCATCTGGCCCTTCGGCTCACAGCATGTTCTAAAAATGTTGCAAAAAGCTGCTATTGAGGAGGAGCCAGTTTTTCCTCATCTCAAGGAAGCCTATGCAGCTGAGGACAATTCAGAGACCACATTTCCATCAGATTGGATGCATTCATTCTTCAAATTTCCCTCAATGCGCAAAGTGGGCTGCTGCATGGCGGAGGAGTATAAGAATGACGACGATGACGATGAGGATAATGAGGATAGTGAGGATAATGAGGTGGAGCCAGAATCGGATGAATCTAAATTTCTGAAGCGATACACCCTCTCGCCACGGTCCTCGAATATAACCGACATCGACCTCAAAGAAAGCAACGCCGCGAAGGGGATGCGGGAATGGGTTCAGGCCTGCAAAGCACTGAAATCATTCCGGATTGTCCTTGGTTCAGAAGTGGGTCCCTGGGATGACTTTGAGCCGCGGAAAATTTACGAATCGCTTTCACTCCAGAAGTTGACGATGGAGTCTATTTGGGTTGAGAATAACGATGGACTCGATATGGATACTGATAACGAATGGATGGGGTCTTTTGTTGATTTTACCGCTCTGAGGCTTATCGGTGCTTCCTTGCCCAATCTTGTTGGATTTGACGAGCACTACCTACCCGTGTGAAGACTGCGAGATGTTCTTCCTTCCAATTTGGAGACATTATATCTTTTCATCCGCGAAGAAGAAAACTTTGATGGAGCTATTGATCAGTTGGGGGAATTGGCTACCGCTGAGGACTTCCCTAAATTGGTTGCGCTACATCTTGAATACTACCATTTTTGGAAGCCGGAGAGTGCTGCGAGGCTTGAATGGTTAGAGCAGATGTGTAAAGAGGCTAGTGTTCTGTGTGTTCCTCATCACTCAAGCGATTCGTTCTCTAGGGACGACCAGATGATGCAAGCAATTTGCCCCTATAATGAGCATAGCTTGCTTGTAAATTAATATTAATATTCAAAATCAACAGTCTTTTTATTCCAACGATTTCGGAATTTCCGAGTTTCAAAGATCGAAGATCCTCTCAAAGGCCTAGACACTTCGGGCCAACTGTGGGGAACATGACGCAACAAAATAAAGATAAACTAAGCGACACAGGGAATCCCAAGAAAATTCTTGGCTTCTTTCCTTCTTTTCTTCTCTTTCCTTCTAATATTCTTGACTTTCCCCCATAAAATATTGGGAAAAGAGACGAGAGAGTGAGAATCGCAGGGGTCCGGAAAGTGGCAAACGTGCTATGGATTTACCGGAAAACGAGGAGAGCCATGACAATGCTCGTCGCGCCCGAGAACTCTTCAACTATTTCCAACCCGACAATCCCGCCCTCCTCCCATGTATTTCGAAATTTGGCCAACTGCCAATCAAAGCAAGCCCTAACCTCGTTCTCACCTCTCTAACCCAACTCGCAGCGCTGAAGTTGGGGGTCCAACGCGCAATTATCAGGTATTGGTGTCTCCACCTAGAAGAATCACCAGCTGATTGAATCTAGCTTGATCGGTCGGGAAACACTATATGTGGTCGCGGAAGCAACACGGTCTTTGAATTTGGGTGACAACAGCGTTTGCGACAATGACAGCGATAGCCTGTGGATGGGTTGTTCGAATGGTCCTCTGGCGGGCACTTTGTGTGAGGTAAGAATACACAAATTGTGCAAACAAGGTCGCAATTAATGATAGATCTGGCTAACCAAGTCTGCATACTAATAGGAAACAATCACACTCCACCCGACCGCGGAAGAAAGGCATCGTTTCTTTATTGTCGAAGATTTGAAAGAACATCCCACCTATTGCAAAATTCCCTGCGTCACCGGTGCCCCGCACTTTCGATACTATGCCGGTACTCCTCTGACGACTGCTAGTGGCATCAATATCGGGAGCCTTTATGTCATCGACCCGCGGCCAAATATATGCCTCAGCGAGCTTCAAAAAGAGACACTTGGTGTCATCGGGGCTGCAGTCATGGAATATCTAGAGACATCTCGTCAATCACTAGAGAGCGGACGTCTAGCAAACCTGCTAACTGGTCTAAATACTTTTGTTCAAGGCGAGGATAGCGTTGATCCCATTAATGAACCCCTTTCGAGAACCCCAAGCTCATCGGAGCTAGATCAGTCACGCACATCCAGCCCTCTCACAATCCCGACCGAAAGACTAGAAAGCGAGAATATGCAAATTATCAAGAAAGCAGGAAAGAATAAAGCACAGTCAGAAAATAGCCCCAGGCTTGCTTCAGATGCTACATTGACTACCAACAATGATCAGAATACGTCCTTCCAGCAATCCAATGCTTCGATAAATTATTCAACAAAGAAGAACGCATTGACATTTCAACGCGCGGCTCAAATCATGCGAAAGAGCCTGGACCTTGGAGAAAATGGCGGTGTCGTAATATTCGACAGCAATGCCACTCCTGGGTTAGATCCTGATGAACACTCAAGAGACGCGCCGGCTGTCTCTCGGCCCCTTGCCAAAATATGTGCAATTTCGAGAGAGCGCACTGACAAGGGCGGTTCCCAAGATCACCTGAATTCCGTGCCGGTTACTCAAATGGATCGGGGATTCATAAAGCGTATGCTACGCAGGTTTGGTAAAGGTGCCATTTGGTATTTCCATGAAGATGGAACAGTCTTTTCGTCGGATGATGATACAAGCAAATCAGAATGCGAAGGAGATGATACAAATTCTTCTTCCCAGAGCCCCAGCATGTCCCAGCCACGACTCCAGGATGTATTACGGGAAAAGGATCTTCGAGCTTTACGGAAATACTTCCCTGATGCTACTCGTATCATATTTACGCCTTTATGGGATTCGTTTAAGTCCCAGTGGTTTGGTGGTTGCTTTTGCTGGAGCTCAGCTGAAACTCGCATTTTCAGTGCTCATGTCGAGCTAGGTGGTGTTCTCGGATTTGGTTCTTCATTGATGATGGAGCATAGCCGTATCCAAAGTCAAGAATCGGACAAGAAGAAGGCAGATTTTATTAGCAATATTTCGTGGGTTATCTCTCAGGAACTTTTCTCCTTCATGTTCTATCAAGGATGTTGAGTTGGATTCAAGTTGGGATTGGTCACTAATCACATCTTTTGGTAGACACGAGCTTCGAAGTCCGCTACACGGAATCTTAGCTGCCAGCGAATTCCTTGCTGAACAGGTCGGTTCCGAGCTCCCCAGGTCCCTCCTCGACACCATTCGCGCCTGCAGTCAAACACTTCTGGATACGTTCGAGCAGATTTTGGATTTTACGAAGATCAACTCTTTCCAAAAGAAGCGACGAGACCACACTCTTCGCTTGTATGGAGACCGGGGTGTGGCAAAATCCCATACATTGCCCGAGTCTCTACACAGTCTAAAAGTTACCAATGTTGTGGCGGTCATTGAAGAAGTCATCGAAAGTATTGCTTTTAGTGCAACTCATTACAAAGGAGGGCTGTTTGATGATCTCAACTCCGTTCATATCGAGCACGTCGATGTTTCCATTGACGTAGCCCCTGGTGACTGGGTCTTCGTCTTGGACCGAGGGGCATTACGGCGTATAGTGATGAACATATTCAGCAATGCGCTCAAATACACCAAGAAGGGCTCCGTATCGGTCCGTGTTGAGATTCAAAAAAGCTCAGGGAACCCGAAAGTTGACAACTGCAACACTCTTCTTTTGACGGTCTCAGATACTGGAAGGGGTATTTCGAGCGAATACCTGCGCTCCGACCTTTTTACTGCCTTCTCACAAGAGGACCCTTTAGCACCGGGCACTGGACTCGGGATGTCTATTGTTCAAAATATCCTCCGATACCTGGGCGGCAACATCAAAATTAAGAGCCAGCTCGGCATAGGAACCACTGCCGAGATTTTAATACCGCTCACATCCCCCAAAAGTGAACATGAAAAAGATTATATGATTACTCAAGAACCTTCTGTTCAATCCACGATAGATGACCTCCAGTCTCTGAGGCGTGAAATCAAAGGAAAGACAGTCTCCTTCATTTCTTCCGAGGGCACTTCATCGAAAGTTCTTCCTTCAGCCCGCACAATCACAAACTACTTGACAGAATGGTATGGTGTACAACTTCAACCATGGACTCTGGGTTCACATGCGGATCTGGTTGTGGTTGATGAAACACAAATTTCGCACATGCATTCAAAACAATTACCCAAAGTTCTGGTTCTATGTCGAAATGCGCAATCATCGCAGGCTATCATCCAGAACTTAGAACCACGATGCGGGCGTGTCGAATGGCTTAATATTCCTTGTGGTCCCCATAAACTAGCACGGGCAATCCAACGTTGTCTGCAAGGAGAATCAGTCAAACCATCCTCACAAGTCTTCGGTCAAAAGATCGAAAATAATAGCCCAGGGTCTGGGGGTCAACGAATCAGCCCAATTGTACCACTTACAACTGCAAAACTCCCACTCGCGACCCAAATTCAACTTTCGTCGAAAAGCGAAACACCTTCCTCTACTCCAACCCCTCATGAGTCAAATTCAACGCAACCACAGAGCCAATTACAGCCTGAAAACAAAAACGCTTTGGTCGAAGGGACGGTTAATACTGTCGTCGGATCCGAAGGACTTCGGATTCTTCTAGTTGAAGACAACCCTATCAACATGGCGCTACTTCAAAAACTAGTCGCTCGGCGTCATCCAAATCTCCTTCATTCCGCTGTAAATGGTCAGAAAGCCGTCGAGGCAGTCAAGAACATGCCTCAGGGGTACCACCTCATATTCATGGGTAAGTCGCTCATATATTGCAGACACGTGCACCAACCCGTTCCCAATAGCCTGGCTGACTATTGCACCTAGACATGTCAATGCCTGTGATGGATGGATTTGAGGCCACAGAGGCAATTCGGGCCCTTGAGTTGGAACGACAATCTGTATCACCCGCCAGGATCATTGCTCTAACCGGTCTAGGCTCGGATGAACATGTCATGAAGGCTTACGCCGCAGGTGTTGATATGTTTGTCACAAAGCCTGTTTCTTTCAAAGAAATCACTCGCCTGATAGATGATGTGAAGAACTACGCTCCTTGGACAGACCAATAGTTACTTTACTCAGGCCGACAATATTTGCCGGTTTCCTAATGATTAGCTCCCGTTCTTTACACGTTTGTGTGTACTTATATATTGAAGTGAACACGACAGATCTACTGATTGCTCTAGAGGGGAGATTTTAAAGTCGGATTATCTATGAACAGCGATCTTGATGTAGTCCGCAAGGATAATCAAGTCAAGATTCACAAAACAATCCACTCAGGCAGCTTTCCTTCAGCCAACCGAATCTGCCACACTGATGAGAGAGTCGTAATACCGAGGTTTGTGCTATAAATATCCTTCGGTTTAGTCAGAGAATCAGTGATGGCAAGCGAAATCATTTCGGCCAATATACAGAAACTTAATCATCGGGTACGAGGGGCGGACTTATACGTCCTGGGTATCTCCCCTACTTCTCTCCTGGCAGTCAGCGACCATAAAAAACCGCGGCCAACCTAATGGCATTGATAAAATGAATTTATGAATACTTTGTTACAGTGAACTCCTCTTACCCCAAATTCTACCACACGAAGGCCATACAACTGCATCAAATTACTTTTTTGTTACCAAGGAGTACTTCCATCTGTGATCCTCCATGAAAATATGACTGCGCCTCGATGGAAAGGCTTGGCACACCTTGGCGTAGGTCAACATTTCCGCGATCTCTTTTCATTGGAGGGGATTTTAAGCATCAAATATGATCGTTCGTATAATAGTTTTGTCGGTGGTATCCAATGAGATGCTGGAAACCATCGAAGTGGACCCACCCCCACACAAGCATTCAAGTTTTGACACTATTCACTTGGCATAAAGTGAATCTTGCCTTTCCGACTATCAACGATACTCCAATCAGTACAGAAGACGAATCTATTTCTTGCCCGATCTAGAAAGCTGTTTGATGGCCTAAGGCACATCTGGTATCAGGCTCCCCATGGGACAGATGCTACAGCTACATGGTTTCTCTCTCCCCCCTCTCTCCTTCTTCCTCTATTTGTCTCTTTAGCACCATAGGAATCACACACATTATCTTTCCCATAGAGACCCTTTAATTAGCAATTTCTAGAAAATCTGTACTTGTTTAGTTACTAGCAGAATGTTTGGTATTATGAGCATCCCCGAGCTTTGACCTAAATAACTTCGTATAAATATCGTGTTGAGCGACTACGTATCTGGTATAGATAGAACAGGTTCTATTTTTGGGCACTGGGCGGAGTGGTCGTCGAGATCTTGGCTATCCAAGAACTACGCATATATGTCTCACTTCTGAGATCCAACCTTCTCCATGGTTCATTCTTGGCGTCAGGAAATGACAGCTAGAGTCGGTCTAGATCAGTTCCTCAGCGGTAAATGTGGCCATCATGGCCAAGATATCCCTGTATTTCTATTTTAGCCTCTAGGTGCTAAGACCTCATGATCATTGAGATACTTGGAAGCCCAGAAGTCTTACCACTGGATGTTGTATAAAGCAAGCGAAGATTCCCCCGTCTCTTGTTCTGTTATCAGACAACAACACATTCATCATATTCACATCTTACAATCTACACCACAGTCTTGGTATATTGCAAGATTTCTATCCTGCCTTTCAAATTCTTTCTTTCATCATCTACAACATGAAGTCGCCAGTTTACGTCCTGGCTGTTCTCCTTCCTCTTCTCACCCAGATAGCTACAGCAAACCCAGTTGCCGAACCTGAGTTCGATGACCTCGAGGAGCGTGGCAGAGGAAACGACAAAGACAATAACCACCATGGATGGGATGATAAGAACGTTTGTGAGGTCAAGCGAACTTATCCGTACTACAAGTATCCTTGTTCATCTAGCCCCAAAATCGGAACATCCATCCAAGGTGCTATTTTTACACCGTCCTGTCGGTACCAGTGAGTCTACTAGCACAATATCAATATCCACAGAAGTATTGAGTAAAGTGATAGGAACGGTGATTCTGGTGTATGGTACCTTGCCCCAAAAGGCTGGGTCAAGGACCAGGACAAGCCTCGACGGTGCCGTATGTGGCTCCCCTAGCTTTTATATAACACACACAAGAGTTATACTAACTTATATTCTAGCTGGCACCACAAAAGCTTGCACCTAAATTAACATATTTAGGCTCTTTTGTGCTTGGGAATGGAAAGGAGTAGCTATGGAAGCCCCACTTGCAATTCAAATGCTGCATCGGATCTCCCCCAAAAAAAGAATGAAAAGCGATGAAAATCAAAGGAAAACATTGATTTGTTTGCAAAGTTCGTTTCCGTTAAGCTTATTATCGTTTTTATTATCAAAAATATCACAAAAATGCCTGATTTATCAGGAGAAGAAGGATTTCCAACTAGGTATATCGAGAGACTGCTGCTGTACTCCTAGTAATTTCTGTTTTCTTCGGATTAATTTCAGTTGTCTATATTTCCTTGTCTGCGTAATACTTCCAGCGGTTCGGTTGAAATCGTGCTTTCTTTTGGCCTGACATGTAGCCGTATAATCAATGGCATAAGTGACTGATGGTATAAACTCTAGGGAATAAATGATGTTCCAAGATACTGGTAGCTTTCGGCTGTCATCTGAGCTTGTTCCATGGGTGGTCATATCCCGTGGTTCTTCCGAGTCAATGATTCGGTTCGTACCAACCTACCACATTTTGAAGAACTTTGTTCAGAGATAGAGACAGAAAGCGAGAGCGAGAGCGAGAAGAGGATATGTAGAGAAATGCAACAATGCAGTTGTAGCTGATACATATATGATAATCATGAATCTAGGCGTGAGAAAAGCGATGATTAGAAATATAGAGCATGATATTGAAATAGTGCATCCCAAATTCGGAAGGCCATAAGTATTATTGCTTCCAATGTCCAAGGAACTTCATGAGAAATGGCGATAGTGATCGTATCTCTAAAAATAGAATGGCGGCTTCTTGTGACGCCCCCGAACAGAGCCAATAACGCAATAAATACAGTACTATGGAACACAACGTTTCAAAATATATATTTGGATTTCGCGCAGATTCTTTACCATGGTTACCGTATCATCATCCGCCTCAACTCCAAGTCCCATTAGCAGGCCCGAAATATCCAACATCTGGCATCGACTTGTATGCTACACCCTGAGCATCGGCAGTATTGAGGTATACGTTATTCCCCCACCAGTCAGGGAAAGTGGCACCAGGGTACGAGATGCAAAAGAAAATGACAATGCCACTAATGGCAAGGCCTGTATCAAGTGCTGCTGCCAAGATATAATTGTACTTGGTCCACCAAGCAAAGAACTTCCGTTTAATGAAGTAATTGAAGGCAAAGTTGACCAGCGCCCAGCTGGAATAGTTGATTCCGGTAGCTAAAGAATTTCGAGTTAATGATTGAAAAAGGAGGACTAGTAAGTTGCGCGACATACCAGGTGGGACATTGTAAGTTCCGACAAATATGAGTGGCCAGTTGATATACTTCCAAAACTGGCGTCTAGTATAACGGTAGAGGAGGTAAGTCACAACTGGGGCGATAGCACCGATCCAGAAGAAATGCAGCAGAGGGGAATAGATCTTGCCCACGGAGTAAAGCCGACGAGGCCCAACAAGACCCCAAATAACAGACGAAGAATAGACAGTTCGACCATTTGGACAAGTAAACCCATCCGTCTGGTCAGACTCGCAAATCCCCGAAATATTACCAAGCATCCAAAGTGTAACACCCGCCTGGGTGAGTGCGCCCAGGATAGTGGCTACGAACTGCGCCACGAAGGTGGTACGTGGCGGCACTTTCAGATAGTGAGCCAATTTCATATCCATAGCGAAGTAAACACCCTGTCCCACGACATCCGTGGAAATGATCTTGAAAATCATGTTCGCAAGTGGCTTTCCTTCGAACATATATCCTCCAATAAACTCAGCCAGAACATTCAACTGATTCGCATCCACGTTCGTAATGCCCTGTACGATACCACAGGGAACCATGTACACGACTGGGATGATCAAGGCTAGAAAGACTCCGTAGACTGGAAGTTTAGTGTGATAGACTTCGACTAGCGCAATGGACATTGCCATGATAACCACGATAATGCCAGCGTACCAGTACCACGGCGTCCGGCGGTATGAGGCACGGATAAGCCGAGCGTGAATATCGAGCTTATTCCGGCCATTGAGAGCAGCCCATAAATCGCGACTATGCCAGATAGCGATGTGCGAGAGCACTGAGGTTATAGCAGCAAATGAAAGTCCGTATACGAAGGCAAAGGTTGCGCTCAAGTATGGAGGCGAGTACTTTCGGTAAGCCGCCTGGTCTAGAGTATTATCCGCAGAAATAACTCGAGCCGTATCGTAGAGGGCGCCTGTGTTATCGTACACGTCGGCTGTCATGAGTGGGAGATAAGCCGTGAACCAGGTATTGGTGTAGTAAAGTGCGGGTGTGACAATCCAGTAGAAGAACGCAAAGCCGGCGAAGACATTCAACGCAGCCCATGATGGTGATAGGAGCGGGTTGGTGTTATAGGCAATTTGGCTCCAGTCGAAGGTAATTGGACTTAGACCGAGACCTGTCTGCATGCCGAAGAGATGGTTGACGATGACGTTCTTTGGCGCGATCCAGCAGACCCAAGTGAAATAGGAAAGCGCGGTGAACATAAGACCGGGGAAGAAGTACCAGACAAAGGCACCGGTCATTACGTACATGAAAAATCGGAGACGGGTTATGCGCCATCCGTTTGCGATGGAGTTCGATCGCGAGTGCAATGTTTCGAGCATGGCACAGTTGGATAACACACCTGGCCAGATGATGCGAGCCGGTTCGACGAGCCATGGAGCTGCGAGACCTGCGACGCCAAATCCAAGCAGTTGTGCAACGAGAACGATGAGCACGTAAAAGCCGGGTTTGAGATTGAAATCGTAGAAGTTTTTGCTGGCAGCTTGGATAATGTTTGTCGCATCCGCTGAAGCATATCCAAAGGATACATTGCTCATAATAACGATAAGTGCGTGCTCTTTGATATTGAACGACCTGTCCGGGTTCACGACAAATGTGCCCAAAGGCCCAAGGCGGATGGATGTGAGAGGGAGGGTCTTCGCAAGGAACACCCCGATCGGATAGGCAAGTAGCTCTGCTACTAGGGCCACAATATGAACCGACGGATAGCGCAGCGAAAAGAACTGGTTAATACCAGACCCAAGCATAGTAAAAACAATGCCTAGGAGCCACATCCGTACCGTATTGACCGGCATATCGGGGTCATCCGTCTCAGGGACGACAGCCCTGACTGTGGTAATTGTTAGTCCATCAAGATGTATATCAACAGTGGGCTAGGCACGCGCCTTCAGGGAATGGAGAGCGGTGCGATTCATAGCTAAACTCTTCATTTGTATTCTCGTCGTCTTTTTCAAGCTCGAATTTTTCTAAGCGGCCTTCGACTACCTCTTCATCCGTCCCGATGAGCGCGGGTTTGATTGCGTCCGTATCTACCTCCTTGGAAGACATGGTATAGATATTTGCGCAGTCTCAGCGCATTGCTTGGTGAAAAAAAAATACACTCGTTAGCCACGCACGAAGAGCCCTTTTCTATGGTTGATTTAATTGGCTATGGCTGGGGGGGTAAACAGAGATAACGCATTCCGACGGTAGTGGAGAATGTGGGGTCGGCTTAATTTAGCTTAAGATAGGTGGGCTGACCCCGATTTTGTCTACAATGGGTCTTCCCACTCTTGATCCGGGGAAGCATGAATGGGGTGTAAGTCATTGCTTATAAAGGGCTATAAAGATATATGAAGAATAAAACCTCCCCTAAATTCAGTTAAATTGTCAAATCTCATTATCCTATATTAAAAGGTATGAGTGGTTAGCTTACTTTAGTTTGCTTTTAGTTTATGGACGAAAGATAAGAATGACTAGGGTTAATTAAGTACGCGGCCATGTAGATCCTGATAACTCTTTGAATTGATCACTTTTACGGCATTGGTTAGTCTGAAAATAATCGGGGTATCTTGATTTATCCGTATAAGAATAGTCGGCCGCGTTTATAGCCTGATAATATATTTTTTAATGTTCTTTATTTCACAGACATTTTACGCCCACTCTCTTTTCATAGATAGAACGCAAAAAAAGGCGGGGAAAAGGCTAAATTGGAAATGGCTAAATTTGTGAATGGACTTTTGCACGTATAACCTTTCACATTAACTAATTGAGTGCTATTTTAGCTTATTTATATGAGTATACGGAGTATGGGAAGTATAAATAACTCTTAAGTACTCTTAAAAAGGGGAGCAGTACTCCGTACGAAGAAGAATGTTAAAAGGGCACCGTCCGCGGGGCTTGGCTTGTGCACACCGGCCCGAAAGTTTCTCACTCCAATTCTCACCTTGTCTATATTGCACTCACCCTTATCACCCCATTAACCACCTACCATGCCACAAATTCGCGCTAGGAGCTCTAGAAATTTAATACAGCAAGAAATTAGGATCCTGTTGGCCTTTAAGGTTCTTGAAGATGTCTGGGTCAATCAGTGGTCATATGACTACTACTCCATAGTAGTGTGATCCCTACTAGGTGTTAGGGCCTCATATATCACTCTAATGACAATCGGATATTCCGACTGTCCTTATGATCTTCTGGCCTAACTACCTAGGTAGCGGTCAAATGATATCATGTGATCACCCAGCAGTTGTGGCCTGAGTTGACCTCAGGGTTAAAGTAGACTGTAACAGTCTTCCTTTTCTTCCTCCTACACAGTTCAACACAGTACACAATACAATAGTATTGTGCTTTCTTCCTCCATGATATCATCTGCTAGCCTGTAGAGTCTAATAGAAAAGTACGAAATAAACACTAACTCTCTCGCTGTTCCCACTCACCACGTTAGCTTCGCACCCTACCTACCTAACCTCTTCACCCATATCACCCATTGTGCATATGCCAACCACCTATCTATTTTGACTCTATAATCCTCTCCGCACGTAACCTAATACATACGACCATAGGGTGTGGAAAACAGGGCTTCCCGTCCGCTCAGCCGTACTTAAGCCACACGCCGGTGAGTTAGTAGTTGGGTGGGTGACCACCAGCGAATCCTCACTGTTGTATGTTTTTTCTTTCTTTTTTTCTTTTTTCTCTTTTCTCTTTTCTCTTTTCTCTTTTTATTCGTTTGAAAGTCCCTCTTGCCGCTCTACTCTTCAGCCCATTCACCTGAATGCCCTGAACACCACTTTATACAAAAAATGGGTCGAGTTGGGTCCAAAATTAGTTTGCAGAAGTCTACCTTTACTAAAAACAAAGTATGACAATCCACACAAGCACGCATGACCCGAGTCTCGCCATTAAATGAAAGAGTGCGAGTGCCAATATAGCATGGCACTAGTCTCAGCGTCTTGTAATTTTGTAGATTTGTCTTGCCATTTGGCTCTACACTGTCAGTTATGGCCGGGCCTATTTACAACGTTTGACAGATCTCGTGGTGATGAAGCTCTTCAGGTATGCCTAGGATAAGAAAAAAAATCTTTATTCACCTTTTTGCTCTATTTTTAGTTTGAGCTTTCCATTTGTTATCAAACTAAAAATTTCGTACAACTTTACTCCGTACATATTCGAGATTCCATTGAACAAGTCGAGCAAGACCCCAAACGACCCGGAACGAGACCCGCTGTACAACTTCGCATTTCACTCTATATTCTCGAGAAAGACGCCCAATCAGACGATGTAGAGCCACAAGATATACTGACTATGTTCCACTTCTTCTCCGACCCTGGATAAACCGAGATATACCACGACAATTTCTTCATTAATGTCCGGAGGTCTTTTGTAGCAGCCACGACACAAGACCAAGGATTCAACATTCTTCTCCATGCCCACACTGTAGATTGAAAACCAATGCCCAGTAATCTCCAAAACATATGCTGAATTTTGCCAGACATTCTGGACATCATGGAAACTCTGATTAGGCAGGCTCTGTTGAGGTGTCAAACACTTTTTGCTGACCTATCAATCTCAACAATACTAGCATCATCGGTTTCTTGATTCGGACTTGTGCCTTCGTTCCCATCAAAAACCGCAGCCACATGCTCCAACGTATGTCCCTTCGTCTCGGGATAAAAGAAAAATACAGTGATCCCATACACAATCAATACAACGACGAAGACAAGATAATATCTCCAGCCTATTATATCCAACGCAATCGGATTTACAAATGTGTTGAAGATGAGTGCCAGCGTCGCTGCAATCCAAGCAACACTCAACCCGCGAGAACGGTACCGATATGGCCAGATTTCAACTGGATAGGCAACCTGGAGTGGGGTGCTATGACAAGTGTTAAGAAAATATTCTGGCACCCAATATAAGTCTCACTTACATTGCAATATCGTATCCGGCATAAAAAATGAACAGAAATGGAATGACGGTAGTGCCCACAGCTTTCACCCCAGAATCTGCGAATGATCCAGAGCAGGCTGTGATGATGACATAGCTGGTGAGCATCAAAGCAAAGGAAAGGAGAAATAGCACTCGACGACCGAGTCGATCAACGAGATTGGCCCCAGTGATAGAGAAGATGATATTCCATATTTGTAGGCATCCCGATATGAGTGTCTGATCTTTGACTGAGGTGATTCCAATTGTGTTGAGAACCATGCTGAGATAGTATGTGACAACACCATTTCCGACCCATTGCGAGAAAATGCCAAGGGTGACGGTGATAAGTAGCCTGTGTCGATTTCCGGGCGTAGATATCAAGCCACGATAACCTTCGGATGCCAGAGACATCTGTTCTTGCCGAAGTGTTGTTTCAATTTCAAGAATTTCAGCTTGGATCTCAGGCGAAGAGATGTGCCCGTTCGCATGCGTGTCGGCAAGAATCTGCCGAGCCTTTTCCTCCTGACCAGTGATGAAAAGCCAACGAGGGCTTTCGGAACATAGAAAGATCCCAGGTAGAGCTAATACTGGGCAAAGGCACTGGCATATACTCACAGTTCTCCATGTCCACGATGTACCGTAACTTCGAGTGCCAAAGGCGCACCACGCAGATATAGCAGCCCCCACATGAAATCCACAGAAGTATAGTGAAGTAAGCTTGCTTCGATGGGGTGGATAAGCACACTCCGCAATAAGCAAGGGGGCGACGTTTGCCCATATGGCTGACGGAATACCAAGAAAGACACGGCCTATGATAAAACTTGTAGGACTTTTGGCAGTAGACTGTAACACGAAGCCAATGATGTGTGGGATATAAGCGAAATAGATTGTCCTTTTCCGGCCAAACGTATTGGAAGCCCAGGCTGCAATCGGACAAGTCACAAGAAACGCGATCCAATATACTGCATTGATGAACCCTAGCCAGACAGACTCCGGATTATCCATGAAGTCCATCCAATTAGGAAGAGCTTGTAGACTGTTCATCATTGACCCATCATAACCAATACTGGCCGCTTTTCGATGGTTCCAATTAGAAGTGAAACTAACGTCATGTAAAAGCATTGGTGGCGAGCGGTGCATGTACTTACCATAGAAACATAAAAAGATAAGTGAAAGATTCAGGCGAATGAGGTGGGATTGCTTATACCAAGGCGCTTTCTCTTCTGCCATGGCCACGGGTTTTTTGTACCGAAGATATTAATTTTAGAAGTAACAAACCAAGTAGAAAGGGTTACTCACAGGCTCGTGAGTCTCCTGGTGTTCTTAAATTGAGCTTTTATACAAAAATTGCCCGGCGATATCGGCTCTCCTAATCTTATCTGCAGAATGAGGTTAGATCTGCCATACTTCGCCATATCAGCACAGGGCGTCCATTTACCAAGTATAACCGATAACAATGACTGGAATATGATTCTATTAGCATCAGACACCATAGTATCACACCGGGGGCTTTCTCTCTATGGTGCAGTCCTGTCAGCCATATCTTTAATTAAGCAATCTGAAAATCTTATTGGTCAGCTGTGTAGGGTAACTTATCTTGTAGGCGATTGTCACACAAACTGAGATAGCATCACTAGGCCTTGTTCCGGCTAATTAGATATTGAATGAAGATATCGAGCTAGTATTAGGCTCTCCAAAGCTATCTCCGTCTATTTGTGGAGATTTCTATCTCCAACTGAGCATTATAATTTGGGGGTGGGGGTGGGGGTGGATGTGGCACTAGAGATAAAAAGAGACAAAGAAAGTCAAAATGAAAAATTCTAGATTATTAAGACAATGTAACTTTGTGGAACACTAATTGAAGTAACAAGTAAGGTCTATAGGTCATAGGTCAGTCCACAATGTAATGTCCTAGGATTCGCCCGCTTCCCCCTACTTCCAAATTATACACACTTCCGAATTTTCGCCATTGATTTAGACATAGCCCAAAATCTAAATTCATAATAGTATTAGCAAGAGCAGGTGTTGTTTATCAGTCATTTAAAGTACACATTCAATGTTCGTTTTCACTTTCCCCATCGTTCGCTTACTCTTAGAAGAGAAATAACTTAAATATTGGCCGAGATTACTTTCATCGGCTTCATTTACGCCCTGGATTTCGGCACGTTACATAACAATCCTTTAGGGCGGGATATTCATCTTCCTTAGATCATCAGCACCATTCCCCGTTGTTTGTGGCGTTTGAAATTTGGCACCTATTGATATCTACGATGGTAGACGATGGTGTACAATATGTAGATTGTTATAGAGTTACTATATAAACTAGGAAAGATGACTGACTATATAGTCAGTAACTATAGGATAGCGAGCCTGTGGTATCTAAGAGATAATAAACACCCCCTACAATCAATGCTATATGAATCGTTTAAAAAGAATCCCCCTATAGTCCTTTCCTATATAAAAAATGAAGCTATTTAGCTTCTAAAAAACCTTTCTTTAGGTATTAGGACACAGTCCTAATTAATTAATAAATCGCCGGAACGCTATTACTCCTAAAGGCTTTATAAAACTATTAGCGGCTTATTCCTATATAGGAATATATTTAAGCGTTACTAAGCTTAATAAGACTTCCTATTATAGGAAATAGTATTATATAATAATATACTTAGTTCTTATATAGTATTCTAGGTTCTTAGTAAGTGTAATAGTACTAGTATTATTAGTATAGATAATAACTAGCTTTTATAATAAGCTATAATCTTATATCCTTAATTTAATAAGTAGTAAGATTAATTAATATATTTCTTATATAGCTAATACTTATATAATATACTTAGATTTAGTTAATAAGAGAGTAATATAAACTTACTTTTTTAATACCTAGGAAATAGGCCTATTAGTAAGGTAAAAGATAAAGTTAGAAGTAGAGATCTTATTAGTAGAGTAAAGACTAATATAGTTAGTATTATAGTAACTATATAAAGTAGATTAGTAATTACTTTTAAACTAAATATAGTAATTAATTATACTTAAAAGGTAGTAGAATAGATATTTAAGAGCCTATTTATACTATTAGCTAGAATTTCTAATATACTTAGTAAGCTAAATAATAGTATAAGAGATATTACTATAAGTACTAATTATTAACTAAATAATTTTACTAACTTATTTCTAATATAACTTATATTTAATAGGTATAGCTTACTCTATTATAGAAATAAGTAGTTTTTTCTTATTAAAAAGAATTAAAACTAGTTTATTATATTATATATTATATTAGTAGAGTATTATAATAATAAACTTCTTTTATAAAAGTCTAATTAAGAATCCTTTCTAGATAACCTTAATACCTAAGTATTTAGTAATTAAGTCTTTATTAGTAAGGTTAAAATACTCTAAAAGCTCTATAATAAAAGCTATAATAGCTTTTTTAGAAAAAGTAAGAATTAAGATATTATTAATATATACTAAGATATAGATTAAAATTATTCCTTTACTTAATTACTTTATAAAGATAGAGTAGTTAATATATATCTTTTAAAAGCTAATTAATAAAAGAATATTATATAAAAGTATATACTACTCTTTTAGGCTTTATTTTAAGCTATAAATTATTCTTATTAATAGTCTAATCTTATCTCTAAAAATTAGAGTAAGTCTTATAATCTTCTTAATCTTAAAGGTAATCTATTATATATTACTAATAACCTAGTTTTTAGGGAGTTTAATATAAATAGCCTTTTTAATATCTATATTAAAAAATATAGTTTTAATATCTAGGTAGTATAAGAATTAATTTAATATAATAATAATAGTATAAAAGATTTTAAAAGATATAAGCTTAATAATAATAGTATATACCTTATAAAAGTTAATATCCTTAATCTAATTAAAAACTTATATAATAAGGTAAGCTTTATATTAACTATTATCCTTTTTAATATTAAAAACCTAATATAGGGTTAATAGCTTATAATTTATCTTATTAGACTTATAGTTAATAGCTCTTTATATACTATTCTTAATTTATATAATAAGCTTTTTATAAATAGCTTTAAGCTATTTCTCTTACTTTATATAGTTTATAGTATTAACCTAGCTATTAGGTATATAACTAATATCTTTAAAAGTAAGTTTATTAGGTTAAGAAACCTATTTATCCTTATTATATATAATAAAGAATATTAAAAGTATAATTTTATTTAAAGTAAAAAAAGCTATTATATAAGAATCTATTATACTATAAGTAGTAAGATACTTAAATATAGTATAGTTAGATTTCTAGATCTTTAATAAATAATAAAGATTTTAAATTAATAATTACTAAAAAATAACCTATTCTTAACTAAGTAGTTAAATTACTTTATAAACTAGATTTAATAATAATAAAAGAACTAATAATACTAGATCTTAATCTAATAAATTATTAGTTTATAAAAGATTATCCTAAATATCTATAATAATAAAGTCCTTCTTTAAGATTCCTTTTAACCTTACTTTAATTTATACCTTTACTTTAATATTATAACTATTACTTATTTATTTAATTAATTTAATAAGGAGAGGGATTTAATAGATATTAAAATATTTAATAAGAATAGCTAATATTAGTAGGTTAATAAATTTAAATAGGATATATTAAGAATCTAGCTTTAAGAACTACTTACCTATATCTAAATTATCTAAATACTTAGATAAAGAAATAGCTAGTATTTTATTAAAAATAATATCTTAGGAAATAATAATCTTCTTAATAGAGATATTATAAATCTAGTAATAATTATATTAATTATAACTAAGAAACCTTCCTTTTATAAAGTATAAATAAAGCTTTATTTAATACTACTCTTTTAGAATTATATATTAATATTAATAATTAAAAATATAAAGGTAAAAAAGATCTAATTAATAACTAAAAAGCTTCTTAAATAAAGTATATTTAACCTTTAAATAGTATAGCTAATTTTAGGTATAATTAATACCTTAAAGGATTAGTCTTTATAAATATTTTAATAATTTATACTTTAATATAATAGTAATTACTAGTTTAAGTAAGTATTTATTCTTAATCTTTAGTATATTATTAAGATATAGTATATAAGGTAGAACTAGATCTTATACTATTCTTTTTATAATAATATATTTATAAAAGGATTTATATTCCTTAATATTATTATTAAAGATATACTTTACTATTAAATTTAGCTAGATCTTTAGCTATTATTTAACCTAGATAAACTTTTTTAGTACTTTAAAGTAATACTTAATTAAGAATACCTAATAAAAATAAGAAATATTATCTATAAATATAATATAATAGTTATAGCTATTAATTAATATAATATTAATAAGGCTTTATATATTTATATAAATTAAATTACTAAGATTAGTATAAATTAATTTATTCTTACTAAAAGGTAGATTATAACCTTTATTAATAATATATAATATATAAAGCTAAGTTAAAGCTAACTTTTTTTTAATTATTAAGCTATTTATATAGTCTTAGGTTTTCTTAATTTAAGATTTACTAGTATAATAGGTATAATAATAAGTAAAATCTATTAAGATAAAGATTAGTTTATTAACCTTAAAAGCTAAAATAAAAAGATTATTATCCTTTAGTAAATTAATAGTATTCTCTATTATAGAGATACTTAATATAAGATAGTTAGTTTTTATAAGATTATAAAGATAAGAAATTTAAGTATTTTTATATATATATAACTAATATTAGTTATTACTAATAGTAATATAACCTTTAACCTTTTTAGTAATTATAGATTTTAATTTAATATAATCTTTAAAAAAAGTAATTATTATAATACCTATTTTAGTAAATTATTTTATTAAAATAAGATTATACTTTAAGCTTAATATATACTAAACCTTCTAAAGTATTATACCCTTTATATAAATTCTACTTAATAATATCTTAATTATTAATACTATAATTAAATTTAATAAGGTTAATAATAATATTACTATAACCTTCTATATAAAAGGTTTTACTAATAGCTAAATAAATAAGTAAAGTCTTAATAGTAAAAGTATAAAATATACTTTTTATAAAATATTATATAAGCTAAATAGCCTAAATCTAATATCTATATATTAAGATCTAAAGTATTATTTAATAAAATAATAGCTAATATAAAGTTAATATTAATATAAGTAGTAGATACCTAGAGGTTATTAGGTAATAATAATACTATATTTATAATAGTAGGTTTAATATTAGTTTTATTAGTAGACTTAGGTTTTAAATCTTTCTTATTTTTAAGGTTTAAGAAATAGTTAATTAGTTTATAAATAGTTTCCCTTTTATAAAAAGGATACTAGACTTAATCTTTAGAATCTTTAGAGTCCTTTTTAGAGTCTTTCTTTTTCTTATCTTTTTTCTTCTTATTAGTTAAAGTAATATTAAATAAGGCTTACTATTAGCTTTAAATATAATTATTTCTAATATAATATCCTTTAAAAGTAATAAAATCACTAAAGATATATTATAGGTTATAGTTATAAGACTAGTCTTTATAAATAAAGACTATATTTAACTAGTATTAATAGCTAGTATTATCTCTAATAGTATATAAAAATATATATATAATATAAAGAGTAGATATCTTTTTAGTAGCTAGGTATATCTTTTATATCTTAATAAGAAAATAATATTATTTTATAATAAAGTCTTTTAGTTTATTACTAGGTTTATATTTCTAAGTAGCCTATTTAATAGCTTTATTATTAATTAAATAGAAATTCTTAGCTTTATAAAGTTAGTATAGATCTTTATAAACCTTAATAGTAGTCTTACTTTAATAGAGGTAGATAAATATTATAATATCTAAGGTAGATATAATATAAGAGAGGATAATAATATTATATTAGTCCTAGCTAGCTTATAGCTTAGCTTATACTCTAATAGTAGTAGTAGTAGGTAGCTTAATAATATAAGAATTAGAATTAAAGCTAAAGCTAGAGATAACTATTAGTATAGGAGCTATACTTAATCTAGTTAGAGTAAGGGTTATATCCTAAAATACCTTAACTTCCTTATTAGTATTAGGTTAAAAGATTTTATTACTAATTAGATCTTAAGGATATCCCTTAATTCCTATTAAAAGGCCTTAATATATTAAGTTCTTACTATTAAAGGTAATCTCTATTAGTTAGTTCTATTATTCTTAGTTTATTTCCCCTTTTAAGCTTAGAATAAACTTAATAAACTTTAGATCTATAGATCTATATATTTCTATTATTATATAGATTAAGATTATTTAATAAAAGGGTAAAAAGTATAGCTAGAACTAGTAGTTAGCTAGTAACTAGATAATAAAAGGGGGGGGGGAAAAGATAGTAAGATATTAACTTCCTAAATAGGTAAAAATAAGGCTATCCCTAAGTAACTAGGTACGCTAAAGATAATAGTAATAATAAATTTAATAGAAAAAGATAGTAAGGTACCTAAAATTAATAAAAAAAGGTAGATAGAGAGGATATAAAGAGAGAGAGAGAGATACTTATAAAAAGAGAGATCTACTAAGGATAGGGTTTATATAGACCCTACCTAAGGATTACTAGTAAATAAGTAATTAAGTAAATAAATCTCTAAAACTATCTAATTAATACTTAATATATTAATTTCTAGGACCTAAGATAATAATACTTAGTAGGGAGAGCCCTATATAAAATAAAGCCTACCTATTACCTTAGTAGGTTTAATAATAGTAATAAGCTATAAACCTAAAGCTATTCCTACTACCTAAATAGGTAAGATCTCCGGGTAGGCGGAGGTAAGAAAAGTGAGAGTTTTAACTAGGTAGTACTAGGCTTAGTACTACCCCTGTGTGTAGGGAGAGATATATAGACACTGGGGATATTAACTAGTAGTTAAACCGTTAATAATAAGCTCCTGGGCTCATAACCTATTAATATCTATAATAGTAGACGATAGTGTATAATATGTAGATTGTTGTAGAGTTACTATATAAACTAGGAAAGATGACTGACTATATAGTCAGTAACTATAGGATGGCGAGCCTGTGGCATCTGAGAGATAACAAACAGCACCAGGCAGATAAACAAGCAAATTGGTCTTTCTGGATTGTACTTCCGCGTTTGCTTTATATCGTAGGAGCTTTCGAGAAATGATCAAAGCTTTGGATTATAACAATAGTGTATATGACATTGTGTTGCTGCAAGAAGGTAAAGCCTATGACTTAACACCCTACACTGGAGCTCATATTTGATACTCCAAATCCATTGCCATGACCTCTCTTACTCCCGCCCAATCTATTCCAAACTCCAGGGATTGTAAAACCATGACTATCGAAACGTAAAAGTGCATTTATCATGCCGTTTTAAATCACTTATCACCTAGGTCACAAATTTTCTACCATGAGAATCGCGAGTGAGAAACCGCCATGTGTAATCGAAGAGACGTGTCAAATTTCTACTATAGTTGAGCTACATCAGGCGAAAGTACAACTGATCCTATCCCACCGTTGTTTCATTACCACTTTTCATTGCCGCGCCGCGAGTAGGCTTCCGCAAACCCTAACCTATGGTGGGCCGGGGATCGTACCTTTAGGCTTAAAGCCTAACCCCCCAGCCTATTATAGGCCCCTATTAGGCCCCTATGAAACCCCACGATGATATAAAAAGCTAGTCATAACTTATTTCACTGCCGAGTGGCCACCCCACCTAAAAACGCGTCCATGAATTAGCATTTAGTCGATTCAACCACCCACTATGCCACCAATTCGCTCTCACTTATAAGGACTATATTTAAGTATATCTTTAGATATAAGGAATTATAAATAAGGAAAGCGTTTCTTTATACTTATTACTCTAGTTTACATCAGACTGCGATATTGCCTATATACGGGCGGGTGGGCATTGCCTACGGGCGTTATATAAGCGGGTAATGCCTCCAGGGCTCCAGGGCTACTATAGGCATGACTATAGACAGGCACCACCCTACACGTCTATAGGCCATAGGATGGGTTATCGTGGACTAGTAGACAATTTTCCATACCTGTTCACATCTTTTGCGAAGATATTGAGTTAAGTGCTATCGGGTACATGTGCATGACAAAGAAAAAAAACGGAATCTTCATATTATTCCAAGATCGGAATCTCTTACAGTTTGGAGCTGGGCGCCTCTGACAAGGAGCCCTGTAGCCCCTTGAAGCATGACACATTGTACATACCAGGGTCAAAATCACCCCAGCAGCCTTCGAAAAGACAACCTGGCTTCCGTTCCACCTCCTCTCGAGTCAAAGCGCGAAGCCCATCTACATATCCAATACGTGGCCATCTTTCACAGATAATTTTGATATCATCGGCATGCACAAAAGCCGACGACAAACCCATCAGATCCTGACCAGAGCCGAGGGTAAGAAGTGCCGTTTGAAGGTTGACACTCTTACTAAAGCCTCGGAATTCAATAGTATGGCGTGCAATAGCCTCCGCTGCCAAATCTGCCCATTCACCGAGCGGCTGAATTCTGGCTTCAGAGATGTCACAATCCTGTTCAAGAATCCATTCTCGGGCCCGGATGGCGCCCCATAACTCCAACGAAAGTTTGCTTTGTTTGATTCCCTCTTCACTCATTCCCCATTCGTGAAGGGCACAGGTGAGAAAATGAAACTCTTTGTCGAACCCAAGCTCTACTTTCGCCTGATCGGTGTCAAACCCTGCATAGTTTGCGATAGCCAGGCCAAAGGCATACGTACGAAAGCAATGGTTGGCGGCCCAGCTAGGAATTTGTTCCTGGATCATTTTTTCCGCACGGAGGCAGAGTTCGGTTTGCGGAATATCGTAAAATGATGACGGCTTGGCGGTAGGTGGTGGTCTATGCAGACTGGCCACAGTTTGCACCACTGGACCAGGGATTGTCAGGTGTCTCTGGCGAGTTGTAAATAGCGACATGTTGAATTTTGGGATTGCAATGGTGTGCTGCATGTGCTCCTCTCACGCTGCTAGTCTCGAAGCTTACAGGTTGATAAAGTCGTGCTCCTTAAATAAAAACTATTGAGCAAGAAGCCAAGGTGTTAGAGATACTAGAGATCTACGATGAAGATGTAGATGTAACTAGAAATCTCTTGATGCGTAGAGAGAGAGAGAAACTATCTATATGCTAAGACTAAAGTACTAGGAGCAAACAGTGGCGGTCACGTGACCTTCTAATACCCCCCACGACTAGTACTATTAGTCGGTAGCATAGTTTAAACAACCCTAATTCTCTATATTAAAAACTAGTTTATAACCTTTAATAACCCCCTATTTATAGTATATAAACCGTAAATCAACTATTTTTATAGACTATAAGGCCTATTTAGATAATCTAGCGCTTAAATAGCGTTTTACTAAGGGGTTTAGTCAGTCTATCTACTACTATATCGGTAGTTAGGATCTTAATAAATTTAATATTATTAGTAGTAACCTCTTTATATAGCCTATAAAAATAGATAGTGATATATTTTATTATAGTATAAAATTCTAGATTAAAAGCGAGAGTAATAGCTCTATTATTATCTATATAAATAAAGATTAGCTTACTAAGAAACCCTTTAATTCTAAGCTCTATAAGTAACTAGATTAACTAGATTACTTCTTATACTATAAGAGACTTAGTAATATATTCTAACTTAATAGTAGATAGAGTAATATAAGGTTACTTTTTTAATATTTAAGAAATAGCTCTACTAGCTATTTTAAATAAGAAACTAGATATAGAAAGTCCTTTCTTACTATATAGGCTAGCCTAATTAGTATTATAGTATCTATATATAGCTATATCTTATATATTAGGGTAGAAAGAGACTATAAGCTATTTAGTACTAATAAGATAGCGAAAAATACATTTTAAGGCTTAAAAATATATATTATTAAGATTCTTAGTATATTTAGCTAGCTTAATAATAGTAAATAAGATATCTAGCCTAGTAAAAACTATTAACTAGATTAAGGTACTAATTTTTATCTAATATTTATATATTTATCCCTTTATTATAGTACCTTTAAAAGGGATTAAAGCTTACTTTTTATTTATAGGTATAATAACTAGCTTATAGTTTTTAAGACTAAAGTAGATAAAGATCTTATTAATATAATTAGCTTATAATAAGTATATAATACTATTAATATAGTAAATATTAATTATAAGATATTATTAAAGCTTACTTTTATTAGAAATATTAAAATACTTTAAGATAGTACTTTTAAACTATTAAATAGTATTTTCTAATAGAGAAAGGACTAATAAGTTATCTATATATACTATAATATATAATAGTAAACTATTATATTATGTTTTAATAAAGATATAATAATCTAACTAAGTATAGTTAAATCCTATAAATACTAGGATATTATAAAGTAGTAAATACTATTCTTAAGGGCTTTATTTTAATCTATAGATTATTTTTATTAGTAGCTTAATATAATTAGAATACTCTTCTCTTTAAATCTTAGGTAGTTTAATCTTAATTAGTTCTTTTAATTTAGTATAAAGAAAGGTAGTAATAATATCTATATAATATAGATACTATCCTTTTATTATAGTAATTATAGTAAAAACCTTAAAAGATATTAGTTTAGTAATAATAGTATAGATTTTATAGAAATCTAGATCTTTAACTTAATAAAAGCTATAAGTAATAAGTTATACCTTATAGGTACTATTATACTTAACCTTAAATACCTATTAAAGGGTAAGAGGTTTCTTTTTACTTTTAGTCCTAGATATTACTTTCTAAGTACTATTAATAAAGTAATAATATAGTTCTTTATAAGTAGTAACTAGCTATTTATCTTTCTTAATATAGGATATAGCTTATTCCTAACTATTAGGTTTAAAGCTTATATCCTTAGGTATTAATTTAGATATAATATATTACTTATTTAAGGTAGTATTTATAAAGAGACTAATTAAGATATCTAGCTATTTAGTAAGTAGCTAAAGGATATTAGAATTAAAAAATAACTTATTAACTAGGCTTTTAATATAAGCTCTACTTAATTTCTTAATCCTTATTAATTATTATAGCTAGCTAGTCTCTAGCTAAATAGGCTAAATAGGCTAAATATAGCTTTAATCTTAAATCCTATTATCTAATACTAGATTTAGGTAAAAGAAATTATATTTAAAAATTACTTAATTAAGCTATAATAGTAATTAATTATAATATAATAGTAATTAATTATAATCCTTACTTTCTAATAGAGGATCTTAAGATAGATTAATAGTTATTTCTAAAGGAATATCTATATTAATAACTTATTAAGAAATAAGCTATAGTTTAATAAAAACCCTTTATCTATCTACTTTAAAGTAGATATTAGTATCCTCCTTTTATTTTATTATATACCTACTAAAACTACCTACTATTTTATTATTTAATTATATAAGATCTTCTTTAAAAAGTATAGGATTTAATAGGTTAAGAGTATTTAAAGCCTTTATTTATAATTAATTATTAGGATTATCTTTAACTATAAGAGAGGGTAAGGAGGTAGATTATATATTAAATAGATTATTAAGGTAAGGTTATAAGAAATTAATTAGGATATAATAATCCTATAAATTATATATATATTCTTAATTTATACTTATAATATTAAGATTATAGGTAGGGTTAGGTAGACTTATTAGAGATAGATTCTTATTTAAAATAATATTCTATAAGTACTTAATTTTCTTAATATAAATATTATAGATTATATAGTTATCTCTCTTATTATAAGTAAATAACCTTACCTCCTTTATATAAGGATCTAGCTTTATATTTTATTTCTTTTTTAAGATAAGAAACTAGTATTAATAACTAAGAGTATAAAGGTTTAAGAGATTTAGCTTCTTATTAAATAATACTTTATAAAGAGATATACTAATTTTTAATATATAGAGATAATTTATAGTATAATTAATTCTATTAAGAAAGAGTCCTTAAAGGTATTTTAAAAGCTAATACTTAGTTATAATAATAACTAAGAGCTTAATAAGATAATAATTTTTAATCTTAGTAATATTATTTAGTTATTTAATATAAGAGGGAGTTAGATCTTATACTATTCCCTTACTAGTAAGGTAAGTAGTAAGTAGTTTATATTTTATAGTATTATTATTATAAACTTTCTTAATTATATAGTTAAACTAAGTCTTTAAATAGGTCTCTAATTATATATAGATCTTAATAACTTAAGATTAAGATTTAAGTAGAAATAGCTATATAAATTAAGTTATATTATCTATAAATATTATAAAATAATACTTACCTCTATAAGATATAATAGAGATTAGTTCTTAAATATCTAGATAAATATACTTACTAGGCTTTAATCTAATAGATTATTCTTTACTAAAAGGTAAAGTATAGCTCTTACCTTTAATATAAGGAATAGACCTGGCAGTGACCCGCGGGTGACCCTCACGACCCTCGAACCGCCCCGCCACTAGGGCGGTTCGAGGGTCNGCTCTTACCTTTAATATAAGGAATAGACCTGGCAGTGACCCGCGGGTGACCCTCACGACCCT